ATAGTGGTATTCAAAAACCTCAGAGATACTTTCAAAAGCCTTGGAAGGCTATCAGAGGCTCTAATCAGAATTTTATTTAAAAAAATGAACTTGAGTGTTTTTCTTGGCACTTAAGTTTAATTTCTTGTAGTTTGCACAGATACAAAGGAAAATCAACAAGATAAGTGCTCTACATGTAAAAGCTTTTTTTACATGCGAAGGTTATTGATTTGATGGTCCAAAGTACTGACTGAACACCAAATCAGATTAACTTACATCTTTTCCATATGTTGCGTCCCCAAACTAGAATAAAATATCCATTCGTTTTTCCTTTAATGAAAATACCCTGCACATAACCATTTTGCCCGTGCCTGTATATATTCCTACTTGTTACGTGTACGCGCATGAGCCGCAGAAGCGAAATGTGTACTCGTCGCGCAGAATTCGTCCCATTCTTCGTCGAGAACTCGCCAATTTATTGTCGAGAAGCTCGTCGACTCCTCTTCGTTTAGAAACCGCCATTCATCAATGGCCGACTAGCTTCGTCGTTCGCATCGATTGATCGATCAAAAGTAATTCAAGATGTCACTGCAACAACCCTGAACCTCGACCAAATCGCAGAAAAGAGCAATCATCGCCATTGCAATACCGTCTTTGTAAATAGCGGACTTGGAAACAACACGTAAGTTCCTTTGTTTACATTATCCTTTCGTAACTTTGCCATTTTCCAGTAGTGCGTTGTGTCTACGCCAACCAGATTAAACATACATTTATTTACTTTGTATTTTTTATAATAAACACGTTTACGTTTGTGTCAGTATTCTTTCATACCAATCATACGAGACATTGGAAGCAATTTATAAATAAATTACAGTCCATTCCATTTTATCATCGAAGCCCCTTTGTATGGTACACCATAGATGCAATTAATTTGACCATTATTGACCTAATGAAGTAGAGGATAGAACGTACGATTTCGTGAGAAGGTGTAGTATTAATTTTAGATAACAGTAGACAGCAAACAGACCACAAAGAACACCTACACAAGGTCTTCACATGCAGAGATGACAGAAATATACACAGGCTAGAACGCCAATAGGTAAGGATGCGCGAGAACAAAATTACACCTCTTTACTGTGTGAATCAGATGTTGGTCCACTTCTGAGCTTGCGCAATGCGCATTTCATGAGCTTACAGATTCGATCACTGAACTGTGTAATTTCTGTGAATCCAGTTTTATTATTAACGCTATTAACGGTTGTTTTATCTGAAGAAAAATCAAATAATTCGACACATGCCGAATAAAGTGTAATAGCTTTGCGGTGTCTTACTGCACAAACTCAGCGATGCACCTGCGCGAAATCAATTAGTGTATTTTCATTGCATTAGCATTCCATTTTTTTAGATCAGTGGCAGACACATACAGAATACAATAATCCATGGATCTAATTTGGCTGTTGCGCGCATGCGTGATCAGTATACCACTTTTATTAGAGTAGATCTTTCACAGAAATATTTCTCGAATTTTATTGATTAATTTTGTTGTGGCGCACATATCTGCAAATCTGGCATGAAATATTTTAATTTAAAAGAAAAACCTATCAATGCTAAGCAACTTTCCCAGAAATCCATTGTAATTAAAAACTCAAAGGAAATACATATGTCAAAATTTTCTCTGCGTCTGGCACAACCATTGAACTATAAACAACGTAACTGGAAGAGAAACCTGTATAGGCAGCAAGTGCATATCGTTGAAGCTGTGCGACTGAATGAGGTGGTGGTATAACTATTTCAAACACTCTCATCACGTTCAGTTTGTTTATTAGCACGCCTGATAGAGGCAGACAATACGACTGTATGAATTTAAGTGAAATAGAAAAATTATGGCAATGTTACTAGTGTGAGAGAGATAAAGATACCATCACTTGTCTGGCTTCACTAATAATATGCTTGTTTCCCTTCCAGTTACTAGTATATAGTTCAATGGGCACAAATGGTGTATCTCATTATTAATTACCCCAGATTAATTTGATTTAAAAACATTGCGTCACAATTGACCATTCTTTTAGCTGCAAATTATACTAACCTTTACTTTGTGAAATAACCAGATGTATGCACGGCCAGTCCGTTTTCATTCCCTTACTTTCGATTAACCGCAACACTTGTCCCAAACTTAAAGCGACGGGCAGGGGTTGATCCGACACGGCGGCACACTTTATTATCCTACCCTCGATGATTTCAGTCGACGAAGTGTTTTCGGTCGCGGTGTACCTTTTCTTTTTCAATTGTGGTGTAGAAGCGGCAAGATTCTTGGCGTCCTTTGCACGTTTGTCTTTTGCGGTAACACCGGCGGCCATACTTAGATCGGAATCGATAGTTATTCCCCACCACCCTTTCATGGGCTCCACCTTAAAGTTAACCTCCTTCTTAGCGCTGCCGCTGTTGTCGATTTCCACCGTTGTCGAAAAGGAGATGTGCTGCTCGATGATGTCGGCTAAAAGAGTGTTCGTGCCCAAATACAAAAGCGCCTGATTGTGGGTCTGTTTAAATGCCGGATGGAGTGGCAAATACGAATAAGAGATGGCACTGTTCTTGTAAATCGTTTCGTCCGCATTAATGCTGACGGGAACCTTTTCATTTTCGAGCAGAAGTTGTAATATGAGTCGACGCATGAAACCGGAGATTCCGTTTCGTTGTTGAGATATAACTTCGCATAAGATTTTCGCGAGAAGTGCTTGATTGTTTGAATGACACAGGCAGCATTTTGTTAGAAACCGCACACAGATCTCCTCTAGCTGTGTGTGCACCTCGGACTTTAAATTTGATCTCTTAGTGCAAGGACGTTTACAGAGCCATTGGAGTAGAGGTAACCAAAATGACGAACCGTCTTTGGAACCCAACCAATCGCGCATTACTTTTTCATCCGATATATCCGAAAAGAATTTAAGTACAGCCGTCACATTTTCAAGCTTTGAAATTGAATATACACTAGTTTCACTGTTATTATTACAAAATTCTAAAATTGCATTAGTTAGTTTTTTAGGAAGACCCGAATCCAACAATTGTTGTATAGCGTTAGGCGATCGACTAACTAGCGCGATTGTCTCTAACTGCTCGTTGGACAACTCCAACTCGTGAATTTCACCAACCACTAAACGTCCATACCATTCGGATTCGTTTTCGAAAGTTTGCTTAGTGTCATCGGTCATACTCTCAGAATCCTTAAGATCGTCCGAAATTGACGCATTGTGCCCTGTTAATACATTTGGTACTAATACTCCCATTACTTGGAGCAACGAAGAAAAGAGTTCTATTTTAATGTAGCACAACGAACATAGCAGGCAATCCAATGAGTGTTTAAGTGCTACGTTATTCTTTGTTGCTGTGTTTAATGCGTAGATTGTGTGAAATAGTTCGAGATCTATAACAGAGCCAAGATTGCACGAATCGCGCGACTGATTTGCTGTCCATAGAATTGATGCAATGCACGATACGTAAGCCGGATTGCATAAATCAGTATTTTGCAGCTGTATTGAAGTATGGGCGATTGATTTCAACCATTGTAGTAACATAACTATCCTATGCAGAGTGTCTGAATCCTAAAAGTAGAAAAGAAATTATTAGCATTAATCAACTGAAAGCATATCATTGGTTTCAGTTTAATATTTTTGCCACAGGAGATGATTTCCGTTTTTATCTCCAGAAAACAGGGAATCAAAATTCAATTTGGTTCACAAGAGCAAATCATCACCATAAATTGGTAACAAGAATATCAATATTTTGTATTTCAATATTCAAAAGTAATATTTAACCATAATTAGCTTATTTCCAAAATAAGTTTTCAAAAGATTTTTTAAAGACCAAAATCCCATCATTATTTTGTTTGCGTCCCCAAAAAACCATAAATTTACGTTTCCTTAATTTTATCTCATTTCTTCTTTATGTATTACTGTAGAGAAGAAAATTAAAGAAAGAATGGTACTTTATTTGAAAAAAATTTTTGTTTTGATCCACCTCTTACATTCTGTATAAAAAAATATATAAAAATCTTAGAATGTTAGCCACCTTCAACTATTAGGCTGGATGTTTACTATTCTAATACTTTTAATCATTGATCAACCTATATCAGGGGTCGGCAACCTGCGGCTCTTTTGATATAAAGTTGCGGCTCTCCGTATTTATCTAAAGAAATTAGTTCAATTGATCGAAATTCGCCTTTATAATTAATCTTATTTGTTTACGAAATCAAAAAAGTACACTTGCAGCAAATAATTGTCTAATTTGTTGTGACACTTGTTTTACTTTCTGGTATTCTTTTGTTTTTTTTTTATTCTAGCAGCCTACTCCGATGTATAAACACGTAATTAATTAATGAGTAGGTACTTTTGTGAAAAATATTGAATAACATAAAAACTGGGGGGTTTAAGCACAGGGCACCCCTTATAAACATTGAAGAGAACACAAAAGACAATCGAATAGGGAAATAAAATAGTGGTAGTTCCATTTGGAAAAGAATAGTTATAGCACTTTGAACAAATGACATTGAAACAATAAAAATATGCAGGATGTTCTATTTAAAAATATCAGTTATTTATTGACATTGTAAAATTTGACACCCTGTACATTCAAAAATAATTTCTGTAGATCCGTAACCACCAATATTTTTACCAGGTATCAGCTATGTAGGAAAAACCGACGCACTGTCGCAGGACCCTGTATATAGCTAAATACTATAATATTGAATCAAAAATTTTTTGTGGCTCTTTAAAAACTGGAAAATTTTGTAAATTGTAATTTTTGTACAAGTACAAATTGTGCACAACCCTTGTGCAGGTAAAGCGCATTTTTTTAAACACCCCTACGAAATTTCTTCCATAAATAAGAAAGTTGGCACTGCACATCCAACACAAAATCAAATTTGGAAAATGGCGCTACATTTGATTTTATTCCAATGTATCAAATTTCATTTGAATGCCTCCATAAATAAGAAAGTTGGCACTGCGCATGCGCAAAACGATTTTTGAAACTGGCGTTAAATTTGGTTTTATTGCAAGTAGTTATGTATCAAATTTTATTTAAATGCCCAATGGTTATATTTCTTCCAAACGCCCCAATCGCCCTTTGTAGGTACTTTCCCTTGACAATTCACTCTTAAGATATAAGGAATTATAACCGATCACAAGGGATCGAAGAGGAAGACTATGGTTAGTATAATTCTTTCATTGAGACCTTTCATTAGAGTACCATGAAAGATAAAACTAGTTCCACCCCCCCCTCCCACTTCACCGCGTGCTTTGATAAGAGGACAAAAAGGACAGTAGTTTGTAGAAAAGTGTTCCTTTCGTTGAGACCCATAATTAGAATACAATGAGATAAAATTAATTTTTAACCCCCCCACCCCCCTCAGGCCCCGTCGCTCACTGATTTCGAAAAAGAGTCGCACGGGAAAGTTATAGTTTGTAGAAACCAATTTATTTCGATGAGACCTTTCATTAGAATACCATGAAGGGTAGAACATGTGTTCCCCCCCATTTTCTAAAGTTTAACTTGGCACCACTAAAGGCACCAATTGGTTGTCGTATGTAAAAGTTATGCACGTTTTACTTTCAAAAACCATCTCAGAAAAATGCCCCCTTGTCTCTGCCTTCCAGCTTTCTTTTACATACTTTATTGTTACACCCTGAGTATTGACTATGCCTTTCAATCTTTAACACTATTTGCCAGATGTGTGTACACGCTGATAACCTCAAATTAATTGTTGAATTAACGTAAAATTATGTCCTTCTGTTTTGTTATTTTCTTTATGTATGTTAGTTGATAGAATCTATTTTATTAGTTTGGAACCTTTTTTAGCGCATTTCCACAAAAATAAAAAACAAGCAAAAAGGTTTTCGCCCTAAGGCGAGTAACTTCAGCGCAATTTCCATGACTGATCAGTGCTTCCCAAAAGGCCATAGCTATGTGTACTGTGATTTTCTTTACTTAAATATATGGTTAATTTCAGAGAAATAACCCCATGAATAAGAAAGTTGCCATTGTGCAGTCTGCGCATGCGCACATTCATCTGATGTTTACAATATGCGATACGTTTGCTTGCACTAAAAGAATCTTTGGGTAAAATCTCAAAGAAATACCTCCTTAAATAAGAAAGTTGCCCTTGCGCAGTCTGCGCATGCGCACAATTGATTTTTACTATATGCGATATATTTGCCTTCACCAGAAGTATCTGTGGTTAAAATATCAACAAAATATATTAATAAATAAGGAAGTTGACATTGCGCAGTTTAATTGTCAAGATTTTCCTTAGGTTAGCTATACGCTACCGAATGCAAAAAGAACGAACTTAATATCTTGAAAGGAGTAGTTATGGCCTGGGACAGACGGACGGACAAAGAAAGTTGAGACGCTACTAGTTCTTTATCTTAAGAGCTATTGTTCTAGTTTTTTCGCTATTTGGTTCGTTATGGTGTCGAGGCTTGCACCAAGGAAGGAATTTTTTCTGCGTTTATTGCTAAAAATTATTGTAAAAAACCAAAAAACCGTTTTTTACACGTTCCATAATTTTACACTTTTGCCGTTTATTAACGATCCTAGAGATCGTTTATAATTTTGTATTGCTGTCTGATGTCTGTCTGTTGGTCTGTCCATCTGTTCCTTTGTCTTTCTGTCCCTCTATCTGTCAGTGTGAACGATAACTTTGTTTAGAAATGTTTGATCGCTTTTATATCTTCGTTAGTTATGAACTGAATTGCATGAAATTCAATATGGTCATATAGCGTCAGCCATAATACGCAATGCCAAAAGTTGAGTCGAATCGATTCCAAATTCACAGTAGTGCCCCGACCATTTATAAACTGAATTGCAAACTTTTTTATTTATAAAAGTATTTAAACGCAATATGATACATAGGCACTTGGAATAAAAGAAAATTTAACGCCAGTTTCAAAATATGGTTTTGCGCATGCGCAGTGCCAACTTTTTTTATTTATGGAAGCATTTAAATGAAATTTGATACATAAGCACTTAAAATAAAGGAAATCAAACGTTAGTTTCAAAATTTAGGTTTGCGCATGCGCAGTGCCAACTTTCTTATTTATGAAAGCACTGAAATTAAATTCTTCTTATAAACAGAAATTGAAGTAGCACGTCAAAAATGTATTGCACATATGCAACGCTATCTTTCATATTTGTGGCCGGATTTTTACGATTTTAACAGAAGTTGCATCTTACAAATTGGAAATGAATGCAAGTGGAAATGCGCCTTTTGTACGATTACTTTTTTAACTTGTTCTTTTTTTGTTTAAGTGTAGATTAACTGTACACTATTGTTACTTTGTCCTGTAATTGGGCGATCAGCCTGTAGGGCAATAAATAAATAATAAAATAAATCTATCTCATTGTCCTCTCTTTTTGTTAAGTAAATATAATTAGAACGGAAACCTGTGACAAACGCATTAAAATGGCCCCTAGCCTCTTTTAATCACCTTTACCAATTCACATTTTCTATTCAGAAAACTTACCTGATGACCGCATATTTGATACAGCAATTCGCACGCTGACTGCACTCCGGCCGAATGTAAGAATAAAGGACTTTTCGCGGCACCGAGACCATTATCAATCTGTTCACCAACACACAGTCGGCTTTCCAACAGCATTTCGATAACATGCAACCCGTTCTCTCGATTGTGTAAGCTAAGCTCGCACAATACCTTCTCCAAATTTGGCAAATATAAACCGGGAATATGCGTCGGAACCAGTAACAAACCGCAACAGACCAACAACAGATCGGGCACCCGTGTGGCGTTTTCGACGATTTGAGTTTTCAGCTCGATATCGACAGGTAAGGTGAAGCAATGATGTAATAATCTCAACCAACCCAGACTATACTTGCAGTGGAATTCGTCTTCGGTTAAGTCTAAAACTTGTTGCTTGTTGGCGCCACCGAACGCTGACGTGCCCAATATGCGAATTTGAGATAGACCGATGTTGTTGGCGTCTCGCGGTTTGTAAAGACGAAGTTGGATACAGTTCACTACTTCCGGTACAGGTAAATGTAAGCGAATGAATGTCATGCCGCTTGTTGGTAAGGGAGGGCAGGCGGGAACTAAACGTGAAGGTCCATCAGACGATACCTACAAAAATGTAATACATCCTCTTATTTTATTATTTTAAGTTTACCTCGAGGGCGACAGCGGAAGGACAAGTTGCTAAGGAGCCTAAGTGAGGTTGAAGGTGCACTTCTCTCAGCAACACTGCGCTAGGAAGTTGTAAAATTAACTCGGTATGTACTTCTTCAGGATAGAAATGATACGACCACTGAGCAGTGCGCGCCCTTCTATGCGCAGCTGCGCTACCCTGAATTAAAACATCAGCAGATTGGGCGCTGCTGGATTGGCATCTATAAAATCAGTTCAGACTGCTGCTACTACTCAAACTACACACTTACTTTATTGATCCAAATGGGGCGAAGTTAATCAAAGACATGTTGTTTTCAAGGTTAGCTTGCTGCATTTTTTTAGTCGATGACGCCGAAGCAATGGCGGTACTTGCGTCGGATCTCGTAGTTGAACCTCCAAAATGTTGCATTACCATCGACACTGTCCCAGCATGTGATACAGTGTTAGGAGCATTACTGCTGTGAACCAGACTACGGCCCAAAATTCCAATTCCACCTTAAACAATGGATATAAACACAGCCAGCTCAATAACTTTTACAAATCTACCTGCGTTTAAGAAGCCGCTCAACGCTTCCTCAGTATCTAAAACTTGCAAAATAAACCATAACAGTGGCTCGCTGAGTTGGGGCGCTTGCGATAGAAACATTAGCAATGGTTCCATTATCAGTTCTTTTCTAGATGTTTTTCGTGCCAAAGCCGCTAGTGTGTGAAATACGGCGTCGCCTACGGTTCCAGGTTCGCCTAAATCAGCAAACGTGCTCTGGAATACAATGGAAAATAGCTCACGCGCAACATAACAAGTAATAATAAACACACCTGTTGGGAAATATTCGCAAGCATTGAAAGCGACGATGCCTTGCAAGCCGCAAGCGACTGACAAAGTCGAATAATGCTCGGATGGTGTTGCAGAACCGTATCTGCCAGACAGGGTACTGGAGGAATGTTTCGCTCCTGTTGAATTTGTTCTGCTTTACTTTCATCGGTTTGCGCTGTTCTGTACGGTTTTGTGTCCATTGCTTCCTGAAGGATTGTTACTTTTATAAGTATTACTGCAGATTTTTACATTATGTGCAAGAAATAGATAGCGAGACATTGAAAACAACAAATATGCATATTTTATGATTTGTAAAAGAATAACTTTAATATTGTAGTTGTAAACAGTGCTTATCAAAATTCAATCAACATTTTGTGATAACTAATAGTCCATGGGCCAGTCGACATGACGGTATAATTTGGGGGTACCAATTTTCCTTTTTACAGTGGTTATACAGGTTTATTAGGATGCCAAAAAACCATGATTGCCATCTCAAAGCTGTAGCTAATAGAAATGCCGGTCAGTCAAAGATGGCGAATGTTGAGTTTTATAAAATCAACTATATCTCTGGAATTGTTGATCCAATTTCATTATTCTTTTTTTTTAATGAAAGCTCTTTATATGTGCTATAAATATTGTTATAAGTATTGTTTCGATAAAATCAACTGTTAATCAGTAATTTAAAAAAATGTTTTTTTAAAAATTTTTTCCTAATTTTCTTTACTGCCTGTATTAATACACAATAAATGGTAAAATTATGCGCATATATATGCAGAATATTAGTGAAAAATATGCAAACAGTTTTGATATATATGCACACATACAAAATTATATATCTTGCATAATTTTTTTTTAAATATTGATAAATGAAAAAAATTTATTCTTCATGATATTTTTCGCTTGCTTTGAAAGTACCAATAACGTTTCAATAATCTAAAATTTATTTATAGAAATCTGGAAAAATAATAAAATTAATTTTTTTATTTGAAAGTTATCATGCTACATTATAATCAAGATAGCGTATTGCTATCAAACCACAAACAATGGAAACGTTATTGGTACTTTCAAAGTAAGCAAAAAATATCATGAAGAATAAATGTTTTTTATAAATCAATATTTAAAAAAAAATCCCCTCTTGTGTACCCCATCGCTTTACGCACTGTATGTATCATATGCGGAGAGATTTCACCTTTTAGTGAATTGCACTCTCCGAAATACAGGCAATCCTAGGCAGTGTTATACAACGTCGATATATCCTACATTTTTCCAAGTCTAAAAAGCATTACTATCAAGTGAAACTTTATAATATTCTCCCTAGTAATGTCAGGGACTCGACATTTTATTGTTTTGAAAATCGTGTAAGGAAACATATACTAAGTCATTGTTTTTATTGTGTAGATGAATATTTAAATACTCCATTTTCTCCTTAGCTCTAGTCATTAGTATTGTATTCTACTTACAACTTTGATCTTTGACTGTGATATTTTATTACTGTACATTTGTTGGTTATTTACATATTCATTGTTATTATATTTATTTTTGTGTATTTATGTGATGTTAGATTTTAGTAGTTTACGATATAGGTACATTTTATCTTGTTATTACTGTTACCACACATTGTAATTGACGAGTCCTCTATCCAATAAGCAATCATTCGGACTAATAAATAAATTATGAATTAAATTATTAAATTATAATTGTAGCTGAAGAGGCATGATCAAATACCAAATGATGATGAGATTGGACGACACTAGGTTCGTTGTAATTACAGATGTAAAATTGGCTCTTTAATGGTGAAAAAACTCCCTTTAACGAGTACTGGGAAAAACTTAAAGAAAGACTTCAGATAAACGACGCCTGCTCGATAAACACAGCACTTTCACTAACTCCTTCGTAAAACGTGAAACACGTTTCCGCTTAACTTTAGACAAGAACTTTACAACTGACAAGACTGACTGTCTTGCAATAACTACGCTCAAATACGGCTTTTAGCCATAACTTCAGCAAAGTTTGTTAATATTGATGGAAAGGTATATATTGTGCCAGATAATTTGACATAAATTATGTGAAAACAAAAAATACATTGGAAAATTGTACGTCAAAATCAAAGAGATGCTATTCCGGAAGCAGCAAAGAAGATGAAAACCCTAAGTTTGGTTTCCATATAACCTCGCGTAATTACCAAGCTTGCTCGTGACAACTACCATTATGTAATGCTATAATAACTTAAAGTGTACAAGCGCATGCAAGCTGACTACTTGTGGAAACGTCACTGAAGAAAAGGAAGAAGTAGCAGATTTTAGTGTATATGAAACTTTTGAAAGTAACGAAGGGGTTGATTTAGTTTTCATTAAATGTTAAGAGTTAAAAAAAATTCCGTTCGTTTACTTTATGCATTAGTTACTTTCGATTTTATCGGAAATGTAGTTATGACAATATTGTAACACACACAAAAGCTTTTATTTAAGAAAATGATGAAGTCGGACCAATAGTTCTAAAAGATAGGTATAGTCGGTTTTATAAAACTCAACATCCGCCAACTTATATGTGTCTAATCGTGGTAAAAAGGAAAATTGGTACCCCCAAATTATACCATTTCCTTAAATTTTAGACAATAAGGTGTAATGCTTCAGATCTCCTACAGTGGATTATACATTTTGAATTCAAGTAACATGATTTTCCTCTACTTCCATTAATTACCTGATTTTCAAGTATGATACACTAATTAGGTATGCAGTTCATAACCTAAAATGAAAGGTTACAGCTCACAATTTTTGATTTGAAAAATTGGCTATTTTATATGCAAAGGAAATTTTATTCAGCACTAATCATTACTGTAAGAAAGATCAAGAATAGATCACACAAATCAATAAAAATCGAAAGACAGATGGACAAAGATATTACAAATTATTGAAGTGGTTATTGCAGGGTGTCTCAGAGTGTTCATAACAGATACTTTTCCCGTTTAAAAAAAAGTGTTAATACAGAAGCAGATAGGGTCAACAAATCAGCCCATTTCAACTTTCACGTACGCTCAAGGTTAGATATCTCAGTTTTGATAATTTCTCAGTAGGATGGTGTAGTTCCCAATTCATTCTACTACAAAAAAAGTTTGCCAACGTTCAGGCGTGTATCTGCTGCTCTACGATACATTCCTGGTTTGGCTTTTGTCTGCTTTAAATGATATCTACACAGTATGGTTTGCTACTTCATTTTAATTAAAGCAACCAATTTTTTTCAAATACTCCAAACGTGACCTTGAATTCCGTACTAAAATTATTTTGAACAAGTATTTCGGATGTAAAATAATTTTAGGCAATCAGTATTTTATTATAGATCTACATTTTCCCAAAAATCTCCATTTTTATTAGGTTAGATATAACTCTCGCCAGGAAAGATTGCCGGTCACAGCACACCTTGTGTCGATCTACAATCTATGTTTTTCTTAAGATGCGAGCGACTTCCGGAATAGGATCGTGACAATGTTGAACGAAAAGTGTTTTTGTTCAACATTGACACGATACCATCCCGGAAGTCGCTCACATTTTAGAAAAACTTAAGATTGTAGACCGGGATCAAGTGTTCTGTGACCGGCAATCTTTCCTGGCGAGAGGTTTATATGATTGCAGAAGTATACTGCGTGTTCAGTTCACATACCATCTTTTGATTTTTGACACACTCTCTTAAGCTAGCATTACACTTGTCAATTTCTTCATGAATTAATTCATGAAGTTACTTCATGAAGAAATTGTATAATGTAATACACCAACTTTGACGTCCAATAAATTCACGAAGAACTTCGTGAATTTCTTCACGAAATTAAAACATGTTCTATTTTTCGCCAATTTTACCGTGAAGTTCAGTGCTACCAACCAACAAATTTTTGTTTATATCAGAGAGAGTGAGGTTATGACTATATGTTTATGTTTACATTTTACCCGAAAAAATGTCTAATAAAAACGAGAAGAGTAGTTGTGGAAAGGTAAGCAAAAATGCTTATATGCTAATAAATGATTACAAAACATTTTACAACTGTAACCTATTTTTTTGATTGGGATGGCACCACTGCTCCAATGACAGATTTGTCAAAAACTTCACCAATTTATTCACAGATGTAAAAACCAAACCCTGTCGTGAAGAAATTGACGACAATAAATTCGTGAATTAATTCATGAATAAATTGACAAGTGTAATGCTAGCTTAAGAAATACAGTTGCATATTTGATATTTAGTACATACTATGTGGTATATCATTTTACATACAAAAATCTGGTCACAAAAAAATTAATTGCATGTTGTGCCGTCAAATTTAAAACTAATGGGTCGTTTTTAAAATTACATTCCTTAGTATTCAAGTATTGTCAATACTTGAAGGTTATGTTTGTTTGTCATGGTCAACTTAGACGGTGAATGTTAAAACAGATCCGTTACCTTAAAAGCAGGTATTTTCAGTCTCCCATAAAAAATATTCTGTCATAATCTAATTCCCCATTTCTACTACTTACTACTTTTTTGATGTAAAATTGCGATTTCTTTGAAAGTTGGACCACTCTTTATCTTATCTACAAATTGTTAAATCGTGTAATTGTATGCAAGGGTGACATAAATACTCTTAAACAGTCACTGTGATAAATTCACCTATGGCATGTTCTTATACCATGACAGTAACCTTAGTCTTTGAATGAAAACACTGTAAAAGTGACAGAAATCCTAGATGGAGACGTGGATCACGCTCTGAAAGTCGTTTCACAGTCTCCAGCAAATATTGCAACACCTCTTCAAATTATATTGTATATTGTATTTTAGTGATTATTTTAGTTTGGAAGCTCTTTTGTATTATATTCTATTTAATAAATATCTATTATTATTATTATTATCTCGCTATCTGCTACCTTTACTGCCCCCCCTCACTGTTACTTACACTTTGTTCGTTGACACTTGGTAAAGGTGTTTGTACAAGTTTTGCTAATAATTTCAATAAAGAAACTAACAGAACGTCCCACGACACTGGTCTGTCCTGCTTGTGAGGTTCTGACCCCAACACAGATGCAAAAATTCCACTAAACAGGTGCGAAGTTGGATGTAATCTTTCACCAATGTTAACACACTTTATCCTGTCCACTTGCGAAATATACGAATGCACAAGTACACCTTTAAGTCAAAATGTCAGCATTAAAGGTTCCAAGATGCAAATCCCTCTTACCTGTACACTCGAATATACTCATGGCAATGCTAATATCGGCATTGCAGAAGTCGAGATACGACATACATTGTAGTAATTTGCATTGCGCATCTAGAGGCCCTTGTTTGGCGGCAAGCGGACCGGTCGGTTGAACAAGCTGATAAACCACTCTCAACAGCAAACTTTTCAACTGACTTCCCGGTTTACTGGTAGGGCTGACCACATCGCATCTCATTTGTAAACGTACCAATAAATCGTGTAGAGCTTTACATAGTGATGGTCCACCCTGTAAAAATTGTTATAAAAGTTAGTAAACATGCACAGAGTAAATATGCCAGAGATAGCTCATCATATGTTATAAATTGGCTATGACCAATGCATGATTAGTTAAAATCCAAAGGAACATCCCACAAAAGTACAAATTTTCATTTTTAAACTCACAAGATAGGTAAATATGAAAGAATCAAAAGAAGCAATCCGGTTACTAAAAAACTAAAAAAAGAAAACATTGACCTAAAACAGGAAAATACACAAATAAAGAAATAATTAAAAGAAATTGTGGAAATAATAGAAAAATAGCAGAAAAAAAATGATGTACTCATAAATGGAATTACAAGGGACACATATGACCGAACGACGAACAGTGCTAAAGGAAGATATGGACAATTTTATTGAGCATTGAGGAATAAAAGTATAGATAAAATGGTACCGCAAATTCGACACAACACGAACACATTTCTGGTAGAACTGGAGGACCAAGAAGAAAAGAGTGGAATAATACAACTCCTTCCAAATTTGATAAATATCAAGATGGATCCCAATTTAGATTTAGAAGCGACAAGATGGATCCCAATTTAGATTTAGAAGCGACAAGATGGATCCCAATTTAGATTTAGAAGCGACAAGATGGATCCCAATTTAGATTTAGAAGCGACAAGATGGATCCCAATTTAGATCTAGAAGAGACAAATGAATCCCAATTTAGATTTAGAAGCGACAAGATGGATCCCAATTTAGATTTAGAAGCGACCAGATGGATCCCAATTTAGAAGCGACAAGATGGATCTCAATTTAGATTTAGAAGCGACAAGATGGATCCCAATTTAGAAGCGACAAGATGGATCTCAATTTTGATTTAGAAGCTACAAGATAGATCCCAATTTAGATTTAGAAGCGACAAAATGGATCCCAATTTAGAAGTAATACAAAATAAGGCAAAACTGAAGGATAATAAAGAAACAAAGATTTTCATAAATAACGACACAGCAAAAAAAAGATGAGAAATATACGAAGAACCGCACAAGAAGAGAAAGTATGCAATAAATAATGTGGAATGGAAGTGGATTTACAGTTGTGTAAGTGTGTAAGAAAGAACCAAAAAATCATTACCCAGCGATGGCGAGGAGAGGGCGAAGAAGGACCAGGCAATAAAAAAGGACATGATTTATAGCAAGAACACAACAGACATACAACCGAAAACTAAGGAAGACGTAAAAAAAGGAGTAAGAAACGCTGGACCCGACCCCTATCCATAGTAATGGGTTGGCTGCGTGCTCAAACAGGCATACCAATAATCGTGGCGCAGTTCAGTTAAAGCTGGACTGTGGTGCTAAGGGTCCCTGGTTCAAATCCTGGTTCGGGCATGGATACTTGTAAATGTATAGCGGGTTGGGTTGGTAAAGCAGCCTTGGCTGAAACCCCGCCCACTCTCCATTAAGGCAAAAGGTTTCTTTCCTAAGAGAGGAGGCATTTTTCCCGAGAGAGAGAGAGAGAGGATCAATTGTAACCTGAAATAAATCTCATCCACGTCAATTATTGTAAGTCATTTTGAATTTTGTGCATTGTATAAATTAGGGGTCGGTTTGTTATTTTTAGGAATCGACCTATGTGAGCCCTTTATATAAAAAAATTCTGTATTATATTTCATTCATTCATAGGATTGAAATCCAAGCAAAGGATCCTGGTTATTTTGTTTCAGTGAGTGGGAATTTGATTTGCATTTAATTTCAGGGTTATCACCAAATAGGAATTGCATTTTTACCACCCGCACATTAGTAAGGGATTGGATTGGGGTAAAATATGACCCCCCCCCACTTTTTTTGACGGAAATGCCTGTACTTTGATTTCCAACTAAAGGGCTGAACCAATTTAAACCAAATTTGGTACACATATTCTTAGACATACAAGGAAGGGCTGAAAAGCTTTCGAGGAAATCGCGCATGCGCAAGTGTCAAACTCTCATTTCCAGATAAACGGCTGAACCGATTGGACCCAAATTCTTAGACAATCAAAAATAGGTTGTTTTAAGATAGAATTCCGCCTCCTTTCTCTAACAAAATAACCTTGATTGGTTTTAAGAGAAAACCCCGCCCCCTTTCCCTCACTAATTCTATTCCTATGAACTATGTAAAAAATAATTTCATTACTGAGCTAGCCATGGATAAATTGAAAATTAGTTGTTCATTCAGGAATTCTGCCAGTGCCATGAAGATTCAATTTTATGTTATGCAAGTGGGGTCTTTAACCCCTGTAAATGTAACTACCCCGTTACGCCACCAGCTTTTATTTATTTTTCCATTGGAATTTACAGTAGAAACTTACAACGGGGCAATAACAATCACTAATAACGTGGAAATGCACAAATGTTACGTTCGACATTTGCAACTCTTATTTCCATATCATGAGCTATCTACAACACATATCTGTAACACAGTAACTTACCAATCCCTTCTCCGAGAAGACCAGTCCAGTTCCAGACAGAAGTCGTAATAGCAACTGTGCAAAATCTGGGTGGTTAATTATACATAACGTAGGCGCGTATAAACCTAAAGAATCCGTCCACTGAGATGTGTTGGCTGAACTGTTATTGCCAGGCTGAAGCATATTGCAAACCATGGTAAGAGTTTGTAAGGCACTACACCAAGTCCTCAGCGATAAACCGGAACTCCAAGCAATTGTCGTAATTAAAGAACTGACTACGTCAGGGTCTAACCCGATGAAAGGATAGGCAGATGGATCAAACTTATCATCACAATGAACGCAGTTCAGTGTCAGCCACAATTGCAAAATGTGTTCGATGTTAATCGACGATTGTAACTGCAGTTCTTTAAAAAGTGAGTTGAAGCATGACACCAACATAGTTCGATTTGGTACGGCCACTTGCGCATCAACATTCCAAGGGGCCACTAAATTTGCTGGCCACGGAAGAAGTTCCTGTTCATTGTCAACATATGATTGGGTTGCATTCACATTTTGCATCAAATTATACGAATTCACCGTAACCAAACGTCTTAATGCGATCTCGGCCAATTCCTCCACGCCCATCTCTAGTCTGGAATCCATTGCGGACGAACTTGCGAAGTTGGGATGGAAATTTCGAGATGACTTTTTTGCATGTGATTTTCGTTCTAAAATGTCGTCTAAAAAATCTTCCAGCTCAGAATCGTCCGACTCGAATACGGATGGTAAATGACTGTTGGGATTATTACTTCCTGTTGTTTTTCCTTGCTTTGTGGCGGGTTCCGAGAGGACATTGTCTTCCAAGGCGAAAGAATCGCATAGTATTTCCAAGTCTGTAAGAAGGTCTGAAAATTTAATTTCAAATTCTATAATACCAGTTGCATGTTTTCAGTGGTGTAATTGAAAACAAAAAAAATAACTTAAAAAAAAGTGCGTTTTCGCGTTTTATAAACTCAAGGTCAACAGGAAGAACTCGTCACTTTTTCAGAATGTTTTCTACAGACCACTACATATAATCAAACACAAAAGTACGTATATAACATCGTAATTACCCTTAGTTCCCCAACTTGTGGATGCAGGTGATGAATCGGTTTCCATTTCAACGTCCGAATTTGGTGGCTTTCCGACCTCAACAATGTCCTGCAGTAAGCAGGCCAAAGCGTGTGGAGCCCAAGGCAACTCGGATCCCATGCATATATGAATTAGCCTCAGCAGTTGTTCCTCGTTCATTAATTGGCCCAATTGTAACTTCACGACGCAAACTAAACGTCCAATTACCTACACGGCTAATTGTTTACGTTTGGTTTCAAATGTAGATTAAGTTACCTTGCAGGAGAGTAAAAACATATCCGCACTGCATGAATGGTCCATCGCCAGCAGTAAAGCGAGCAAACCTTTGGCAACAGCTAAGCAGTGGATGGGGTCTAGAGACTGCACAGTGGCAATTGACGATTGTCTTCCACTTAGAGACTCGCTCGTTTCTCGGCGCCGTTTGCCTTGTTTTGAAGTATCATTCGATTCTATTATTCCTACACTTTTCGTGCAATCCTTATTGTAAGACTTGAATGATTTTGATTTCTTATAATGTTCCTGATGTTGTTTAAGCGTAGCTTCCACTTTGGAAGTTAATGACGCAGCTTGAGTTGAAAGTGATGCCAGAGCCTGCATATCAAACACAGCTTTAGTACAAACGGACACAATTGTCATTTTATATTATTACATTTTACAATAAAGAATATGATGCAATGTAACTCACACTAGCAAGACAATTATTGGGCGCATTTAATTATAAAAAATGTGCCATTGTTGCCATTCCGTGCGTCGGGTTAGTGCAAATATCTTAAGAAGGGCATGTTGGAGAATATAGAGAAAAAAGAAGAATAAAGATGAAGTGCCAATATCCCAAAATTGTTAGAAGAACTTAAAGTATGAACTGTGCCCTTTTCATAATAAGTAACTTACTTTGTAAAAAGGAGTGCAACAGATTCCAGTTAGAAAATGTGCAACATTGTTGACGGCACTCGAGTAAAAATGTCTTAACGCCCGTGTTAACTGATGAAATAAGAAAATCTGCCCAGGATTCTGTCGTCCCTCTGTTGTGGGGAAAAGTGAACCACAAATTTAAAGCTAGTTACCGACTTTGCAGATTTCTTTACTTCTTTAAAATTCCAACGTTGCCAGAGTTTTGGCAAGCGCTTTGAGTTTGAATAAACTAGATTAAAATATTGAAGCTTTTATTCAATGACAATAACAATATTATCTAATAAGAAAACAACAAGAACTGTTCTAAGGAGCATTATCTTTACATAATAAGCAATCAAACTTTACCTAGCTCCATATAAGGATCTGGTAAATATGACAACACTGTTCAACTCTGATAAACAAGGAAAACAAAGGGCCCCTAAGTATAACTGGTTTCCCTGTTTAAAATAGTAATTATTTACCGCCCTAGGCCAAATATCCATCAATATTTGTGGTAATTAACCACTTTGCAGTGTATGCAACACACCTTACATCAATTTCAGGTTTGCCTATGTAGTTATACTTCTTTAAAGTGCTTATTCAATGATTCAGTGCAAACCACTATTGGAATAACTCACTACAAGGTAAATTCATTTCAATTAACATTAATTAATTGATTTAGATATAATATTTGCAAGTAGCTATAATGCTATATAAATCTGCACGTGGTCTTGAAGTGTTTCAAAGAAAGTTACTTGTTTTAGCTTGGTTTTAAATTGCGTACTACGGGTTACAGTAAGGTCAAATAGTAGTTTGTATGTGGGTTCTATAAGAAGCAGACCTAAAGCTAATTGACTTTTATGATGTCTAGAATTTACCTTGTCTGTGCCACTTCAAGTAAAAGAGCTAGCAGACGACGACCTCTAAAATACCGCAAGAGACAACGCAAAATCTGGGGTCCTAACACTACCATCTACGAGGTCTGGGAGAAGGTGAGTGGTATAATAAGCAAGTGTATTTAAACTGGTCGGAACAAGGTATGGTAATTTCTTGTACATTATGTTCAAGATAAGGATGCCTATCCGACAAATCTCCTGGAAAATTTCTCCGAATGATTGAGCCGTTGTGGCAGGTGCACCATCCTGTTGAAACCAACTGTTTCCAACTTTTTTTTTTTTTTTGTGCTGTACATCGTATTTGTAATAAAAAATGCTACTGAAGTAGGTATTTTTTGACGGGCCATATCAAAAAATAAAGTATTTCTCAGAAACGTATTGAAACAGTGTCTTGTAGAGTGACAATGGGAAAGATACAAAACACAAAAATCCGCAGCGGCACCCTTATACAGGCTGATTCAAATTCGAGGGCCACCATGGGGGATCTCGGGAACTGTAAGAGATAGGTAGGTAGTTTAAATTTGGCAAAGTTGCGTATTTTGATGAACAAAATGCACTTTTGAAGGTGAAAAAATTCCTATTTTCGGAGATATCCTGCAAAAAACTAAATTTTGCAAAATAGATTTTATTTTTTAAAAGTAGCATCATGTAGAGGGGAAAGTGCCCATGATAATGTGTCATTTATTTTGAAATAACTTTTTAAATAACTTCAGTAAAGAAATAAAAACGATTTTGCAAAATTGCGTTTTTTTCCGGATATCTCCGAAAGTAGTCGAAATTTTTTAGTTTCAAAACTGCATTCAGTAAAACATCAAAATACACAACTTTACCAAATTTAAACTACCTACCTATTTTTACAGTTTCCAAGATCCCCATGGTGGCCCTCGAATTTGAATCAGCCTGTATACGCATTGGAAGGTATTGCAGATGTCACGACGAGAGTAAACCCACTCATTCAAATGTTTATTATCAGTGCCTTCAGGGGTTTTTTTGTAGGAAACATGGTCTCTTACAGTTTTAGTCTAGGCGATAGAGACTGTAAAATTGGCAAACTGGACATTTTGAGGTGGAAAAGAAAAAAATGGTGGAATATGTTCAGTTAGGTGTCAAAAACAACATATTAAAAATCCCACTCCCCAGACCCTGTGCTAAAGGCTCCAGCCACCCAGCCACCCCCCAAAAACCATGTTTTCGCCCTTTTTGGCTGATATCTCGCGATCTATGAGGTCTATATGAAATATTTTTAGCTGAAAATATTTCTCGTGAAATTTCATACAAGGTAGATACTCAGAAGTTAGTCTAGGTGTACCTCTTAGCCTAGGAAATTCATAAAATCATCAATTTTCGTAGCTTTTTGTGGTTTTTTGCAAATATATCGCAACCTTTAGGGCTAGATGAAATATTTTTAGCTGAAAATGCTCCTCGTGAAATTTCTTACAAGGTAGAGACTCAGAAGTTAGCCTAGGTGGTACCTCTTAGCCTAGGAAATTCATAAAAGGAAGCGAAAATTGCGTTTTTTTTTGCGGTTTTTTGCAAATATATCGCGACCTTCAGGGCTAGATGAAATATGTTTAGCTGAAAATGCTCTTCGTGCAATTTCATACGAGGTAGGTAATTGAAGAGTTGGCGTAAAGTCACCTTTCACCTTCAACTTTCATGTGTGAGGAAATATTCATAGTAAAACAAAGTATTTCTATGTACCATTTATTCACGTAAAACAGTATTTTCATATCACAATATTCACACATTCATTTATACCTCAACGCCCTCATTAATCAAACTGCAAATTCATGAAAAAAAGTATCACTTTCAAAACTAGTTGTACAAATAACTATTTTACGTGTATAAATGGTACATAGAAATACTTTGTTTTACAAGGAATATATCCTCACACATGAAAGTTGAAGGTGAAAGGTGACTTTACGCCAATTCTTCAGTTACATACCTCGTATGAAATTGTACGAATAGCATTTTCAGCTGAACATATTTCATCTAGCCCTGAAGGTCGCGATATATGCAAAAAACCGCAAACAAAACACGAAAATTGATGATTTTCGCCTCCTTTTATGAAATTCCTAGACTAAGAGGTACACCTAGGCTAACTTCTGAGTATCTACCTTGTAAGAAATTTCACGAGAAATATTTTCAGCTAAAAATATTTCATATAGACCTCATAGATCGCGAGATATCAGCCAAAAAGGGCGAAAACACGGTTTCTGGGGGGTGGTGGGGTGGCTGGAGCCTTTAGCACAGGTTCTGGGGGGTGGGATTTTTAATATGTTGTTTCTGACACCTAACTGAACATATTCCACCATTTTTTTCTTTTCCACCCCAAAATGTCCAGTTAGATGTCTTTATCGCCTAGACTATTTATCTTCTATACATCCTTTTCTACCTATTTTTGAAATACATTCGCGCGATCGTGATTTTCATAAAAAAAATAGATGAATTTTTTAATGAACCCTTCCATCTCCAAATTTTTAGAGAGAAAATGGACATAGGTCAAAAACCATGACTGATAGGTACGCAAATCTTAAATGCGTTGAATTCAGAATAAAATGGTGCATTTAGAAAAAATAGCAAATCCATTTAAACAACCAACGGTATTAAAGAAGCGGCGCCATCTTGAAATTTTCAATTCGCAATAGTCGATTATAGCTGTGAACGAAACTTCAAGTTTCTACTTCAACTGCAACTGCAAGTTTAAAAACGAACGGGCTACGTGAATCACCCTGTATAATTAAAATTAAGTCTTCTGACATAATTAATTTTAGGTTTTCGTTTTCACATTTAACTTTATTCAATTGGTACAAGGAATGCATATGTCCTACAAAACTGGGCACATTTTGTAATTTATTTTATTTTTTTCAATACTTTGATAAAGGCCAAGCCAAGGAGGCTATGCAGATAGGCATAGGTTAACACCCAAAGAAAAAAAAACAGGTGGGTATTAGGCCCTTCAATGATTTAACGTTGCTCTAAAAACCAGTCTAGGAAGTTACAAAAAACACCAAGGGGATTACACTGCATTCATTATAAGAAGGTAGTAGATGGCGCTGCGTTTGAAGACAAACACACACAGGAAAAATATAAAACGGCACCAAATTATTGTAAAGTAGACAATAACAATAACACCTAATGACACTGCGACAGTTTAGTTGGCAACATAAACTACCCCCTTACAAAATTCACCAGTCGTTTTATGTTTCATTGTAATACTGACTCGTGTTTTAACCAATCACAGTGAAGGTCAAAGCTTCCCTATGCTTTCTACCGCTACCTTCTTAAAATGAATACAGTACAGGTGACAATGGGTTGCATCAGGCCTCACATCAATAATAATAGGAAATAGTTGCAAATAGAAGGGTGGGGAAATGGAGAATAAAGTCTGCTTTATTTAAACAATCCTGACAGTAAAATAAACAGTTGAAGCAATTAATTTCCATCACCCCTGTGTACCTGTAAGAAATTGTAGGAAATATCGTTTTTGACATTAGTCAGCGATATGATAATCTTGGATAAATCAGTGTAATATGGTTGATGGTTTACCTTTGTAACCTTCATAGTAATTTTTGGGTTTGTCGTGAATTGCATTGTCGAATTAAAATTTTGTTAGAAGGGTACGTATTCCTATGTCCAACATAGTAAGCCATTCGGCGAATTTTAGTATAAAAATCTGGTAAAATTAAGACAGTAATAAGAAAACATTGCACTAAAAAGTGATCCATGCAAACAACCAGCCTTCACTATTGACACACACAAAAATAAAAACAATACAAACCTGTACCTGAGTAGATGTTTGCACAACTTTGTGAGTCCAATCAAGATTCTCCGCCTGCTGTTTATAATACAGGACCCTCTTTTGTAACTTTTTTTTGTAGGAACCCATATTTTCGATGCTTTTGCCGGCCATTTCACCCGTGACCCAATCCCAGCGTGTGGCATTCTGCAGTGACACCTTACTGATGTCGAGTTGTAATGATAGAAACAAAAGTAGCCAACCTAGTAGAGGCAAATCAATGGAGACTGCAAGTAATGACTGTCGATTGAGCGCCAACGGCTGCAAGACTTGAGCGATCACTTTTAACGTCGCGTCGAGAACTGAACTACGATCTAAGCTTTTTCGTCCCAAAAACGCCAACAAAACAAACACGCGGTCTTGTGGAAATTTTGAATTATACGAAGAGGAATACATCTCTCTGAGCGTTTCTGCGAGAAAAGTTCCCCAATATGGCTGTTTGCCGCAAGATCGTACTAATACAGTTGCTGTCAAAAATTGAATTCTCGATCCTTGCGACACACAAAGCCCTTGAAACAGCTTGTGGCATGATTCCAGGTTAATAACAGACATGGTATCAATGGAGAGTAGTGCATCCAACAATGATTCCACGATGCATCGTAGCTTGTCCACGCAGACATCAGACAGGGTGTCGATTGGCGCCTCAGAAGTATTTAATCCACACTCAATTCGACGCATAACGTTTCTCACAGTGTTTAACTGCCGCTGATACGTTATCGCTTCCTATAATCAGAACTAAGTCCAAAATTATAGTAACAAAATTTGCTCCGTACCTGATATGCGGTGAAGACTTTAGCATTTTCGCAAGTTGTCATATTTGACACACTTTCCTTCATGATATTCATATACGCCGATAAATGCGACGCGTTTGTAATGCTAGACGTTAAGAACGGATGCAGCAACTCCTTTAATTTCGAGCAGGCCAAACTGTATCGACAATTAACATCTTCTAGCAACATAGATAAAACATTCAACTGATTTTCTAAATCAGTGGTAATCGCCACAGAAGAATGCATTTGGTCATACGATACTTCTTCCGGTAGTACAATTAGATGCCCATAGAAGTAGCCCACAGGTATCCGGCACCTGGTCGTCGTCATGCCGTACCTGCCAACTGCAGTAATCTACAAAAATAATATGAACATTACTTAGAAGTGACCTGTGAATGTACATTGCTGAATTAAACTCCCTTTCAAACAAGGTGCCACACTTTACTTTAAAATTTTCGAGGGGGCGCTAGAGGGGGTAATATTATCATACTATGAACTTTCAAATTAAGAATACAAATTGACCGGTTTCGGTTTTTTTCCAATAGTACATAATAACGCTGAAAATGAATTTATTCCATACATATGGATTATGGACCCATTTACCTTTAGATAACGGCACAGCGGTGGAGGTTGTAGATCGTTAAAAACCAAATTTCTCGTACTAATATCTGAAGCCGTGACAAGTCTAGTCGCATCCACATCCTCACTTTTGATCCACAAATCCAGACTGATGGAAACCAACTCGTGGCAAGCAGGTATGAGAACATCCGTAAGCAGCACAGGCTGACCAAAGTCAAGAGTGACAAAACGGCGAGCTCCTGAATGCATTCGTTCCACAACGATCACCTGTTGAGGTGGAGCCACCAGGAGCTGTTGCCATGGTAACGACTGATTCGGTGACAAAATCTTATCAGCGGTAAACGCCGACTTGCTCTGCGGCTCCGAGTGCATACTCCCACTATCAGAATCGACAGATATTTCCAACGAATCGGCAACTGAAAGGTGGTTGTAAATGTAGCGTTACGCAAATACACAGAAAATACTTACTTAATTTGGAAAAATCCTCAGTTTTGACGTTATCTGTTTGGAAAATAACTTGATACGCCCCGTCCATTAGCGAAGTGTAACTGTTATTGCTACTGCCTTGTCCGTTTCCAACACTTTTACCCACGTGATTCTGGTACACTTCAGTAAAATCGGGATAGTGATGCTCCCCCTCCACTTTTTTAGTACCAGTGGTTTGAGTTTGGGGTACTGATACCGTTATTGGTATTAGGTTGTTAACAAAACTTGACCCACTCACATCAGCGCGCTCTATACGCGTACCCTCACTAGCTGACGCGCAGGTGAAGTGCAAAGGTTCCGTTTCTAACAGTCCTCTCACTAACTTTGAGGGTGCTATGTTCTTCAATTTTATTTTACCATCACCTTTTGTCACCGATAATACTTCTTTGGGATCTAAAGTTTCCTTATTAAAGGCGTAATTGGTGTGAAAATCAAATGGTTGTGTCACATTTTCACCGGCGACGACGGTTGCATAAGTAACCGCAATACTTGACGGTTTTATCGGGGGAGGCGGCTCGATATCGAATAACTCTGGTTCCAGTGGCGTTCCGAATAGACCGTACCGACTACGTAATAATAAGTGATAGGGATTGGTGCGTCGATTTAATTCGTGCGAGACATTTCCTAGGAGAGATATACACTTTGCAGCAACGTTGGCCATTTGATCCGGCTGCATGACCTTCAATAATAAATTAACGAGCCACTGAAGACTTGCTGCCGAATTGACTTGGTCCACGGAATCCAAAATATTCATGAGAACGTTCAGAACTGACAAATCGAAACGTTTCCCTATTTGCTCACTAATATCCTTAGCGCCGCTATAAACACAAATAGTAAAGTGTAATTCTATGTTAGGGCACGATGGAATGTAAACAGGCTATACATCAGTGGTGAGGCATACTCAAGTAAATCAGACATGTCTTCAAACACCCAAAAGAATATTATATTCTTGAAGGTTCCGCTCACATAACTGAAATACCTTAGATTTAGAACAATAAGAAAGATGCATTTCGTAAGGGTAATTCTCTTCTGTTGTTACCATTTATTTTAAATTTAATTTATTTAAAACCTTTCACTGGAGAAGGTTCTATTTCATTTATGTGCATTTATTTGGACCAGTATAGACTATTAAGATATTTACTAAAATAATAATCGCAATATTATATTCGAAGGGGCTCAGTTTGTTGAATAAAATGAAGTTGAGAGTATAATAAGTATGCACTTTGTACCATGTGACCTATTTTGGTTGAGACTGCAGTATATCTCAGTTGTTTTTAAAGATAGAGACTTGCTGTTTTTTTTTAATACCACAAACAGAATCAATCTATAACTACGTTTGTTTCTGAGATATAGGGTGAAATCGAATAGTTTGGCTTTTTGGGATGTTATCGTATCTTACCATCCATGTACGATAGAAAAAAGGTAAAAACTGCCTATTTTAGATATTTTTATGTAGAATCCAGTGGCGTAGTCAAAAACCTTTTATGAGTTTTTACCCAAAGTTCGTATTTTTTAAATGCAATGCCCTGTATATCTTAACGTCAATGTTTTTCCATTATTTTTCCTGATTACATTGATGTATCCCAATCTATATTTTTTTAAATTTAATTATCTTACATTATTTTTTTCCAGTTTCTGAAATGACTGTCACCCATTTTTATTGATTGGTATTGGCTGCCTTAGTTACCATGGGTACAATACACAAAACCAAATTTCCATGAACCATGGCCTACCATTTAAAAACTGTCAAGATTAGATTTTTATTTTTGGTTCATAGCTAAAAAATATAGGTTGGGAATACATCAATGTAATGTAATGTAAAAAGAATGAAAAAGAAATCAATACAAATCTTGGGAAAGGTGGTTTAAATATTTTTTTTACTACGCCACTGGATTCTACGTAAAAATATGTAAAATAAACAGTTTTTATCTTTTTTCTATCTTAACATGGGTAGCATGATACGCGATAACACCCCAAAAAGTTCAACTTCGTTTCCATCCTGTTATCTCAGAAACAAACGTAGAGAAAATTTTATACCTTATTCCTACATCAAATAATTTTTGAAACAATTAAGTTTTGTGAAATTTTTGAAAAGATAATATTTCACAATATAAATTGCCTTCATATGGCAAACAGGATGAATCCATTATTTTCTGTATTTGATGTCTTACCTAATACAGAACAATATTCCAAATTTCGTGTCATATTTCCCAATTTTCAAAATCAGAAAACTTAATTCTTTTGAATGGAAAACTCATTTTTTCTTTCAACATTGGATTTTTTCTTGGAAAATAAGACAAGTTTGTAATTACATCCCCACGTTAATTCAAACGTTTTTGTAGCAGGTGGAACAACACGAAAATGTGTGCAACAATTGCAACATTTTTAATAATTAGTTGGCTTTGATGTGACAAAAAAATTAAGAAACAAATGCTATTGAGTGATAAAACAAAACAAATAAATTTTCACCCTTTTTTTTTAGCTAAAATCATGGTGTAAAATAAGAGGTAAAAGGACTCGCGATCTTTATTTAGTAAAAGCAAAAAGTGAACCCCGAAGTGAATCCAGTTGATGGTCCAATATAAGATAGACTGCAAGCTTGGTCGCGGGCTATTACCCCGAAAAGGGATACTACCAAAAATCGCAGTTCGCCGTAATTTTATGTAAAAGCTGCAACTCGCGCAGCTTCGGTGCGCAAATATGGAACAGTGACGGCTGATTTTTATTTACGTTTTTTTAATTTGCGATTTTGGTGTATTTTAGCCGTGAAAAGAAGCAAAAAGCCCGGAGTATGTATTTCTATAATTCATTGCCGTAAGATAAGGTGTAAAAGAGGTCGACAGATAGAAACGGGGAACCAATAAATATGAGTGAAAATAGAGGGAGAGGCGCGTTCGTTAAGCGACTGTACGCAGAGCCAAATCTGCGCTGGTCGTTTTCGTAGAGCGCGTAGTGCGTTTTTCAAGATGAACCCTCCACTGGATGGATCCCGAAGAAAGAAATTACGCTAAGGGCGAGCTGTGTAGAGCGCAGTTGGGGGACCAATTGCAACTCCAAATCAAAGTAACGGTCTCACCTGGGATTCTATAGCCGGTCCGTGCAGATCACAGCTGGAGGGAGAACCAATTTTATTCTGATTTAAAGCAGTACCGAGACGCATCTAGAATTCCTGATGCACAAATCTATCGCGCTGTAATATTGCCTTTTCCCGTCGTTTTACCGTTTGTTGTTAATAGCTTAGTTATAGAATTGAACTAGCGTCGTAATGTATTGATGTATTACAAACTACTGAAGAGAATTTTATGCTCAAGCGCTATTTACTTGTAAAGACGATTTAACCACTTACTTGCAATTTTACATCAAGTTAATGTTGATGGACATCAAGTACCAATAGAATTTAGACTCACGCCTGAAAGATCTTAACATATTAACGTATTGCAGTTGGATATGTTTTTTTATTGTACAGTGTTCATAAAAATACAATGAATTTTCTCTTCACACCTGACGGTTGTTCATTATACAGTGTGTTTATTTCATTTATCAATAAAGTTGAATATTTCCTATCAATACGAAGTGAGTTTTTACAAATGAATGTCGTTTAACTATTTGCTTTACAGGTTTCATACTTTAATAAAGATTATTGACTTACTATTTTCCTTAAGAGGCCAGAAGAGGATTACCGACAGCTAAAAGGATCACATTTATTTATATAATTACATAACCGGAACCACTCCCAATTTAGTTAAGACGTATGAAGATTAAGATGGAGTAGAAGAAGTTATTGTAACATCAGTTACAGACACTCAATCAAAATCTACAGTTCTTGTCAGAACCTCTTTCAAGAGCACAAATATAATCTTTATTTCAACTAGCTAAGTAAAGCGGAAGAACAGACGGCGGTAGTCTCCGCCGAACTGAACTTCGCCTTGTAGAAGTGTGATATTATTATTATTATTAAACATTAGTTACCAGAGATCCCAAATCTAAATGCAAAATAAGAGAATGGGTTGGTTATATGGGATGTGTTGACTTTTAACAATGTCCAATGTATATTTGTGAATATTAAAGCAATTTAGAAACTTCCCTTACCTGACATAAAAGCGTCACCACTGTTGCATAGCTAATTGTGTGGTATTACAATGATTCATAAGCTTCGTATTGTATTTTAAAGAATAAAGATATACTTACTTGCTGCACAGAATCATAAGTTTAACGCATTTATGAGCCATACTTCTATTTGCGAGTAGCAAACAAAAACGAAGCAAAGCCGTTAGATTTGCTTCAATGATTTTCAAAAATTCCAGTTGCTGATTAGGAGCTTGCCCATTATTACTTCGATTGCGAGTGAGACGTATAGCAGCTACCCATATTAAAATATCTAAGGTGATGTTCTGTTGTTCGAGACTCGGCTGTAGCGAGGCGGTCAAACAAAGTGACTGAACAAAAATATTGGATTCTAACATCGACGCACGTTGGTTTCGTTCGTGAGGTATATCGGTATGCTTAATGCTATGTATAGTTATGCTAACTTCATGTAAACAATCACAGCCCATATAAAATTCGGTTTTATGAGTTCCCGTCTGGGAATATTTGTCCAAAGTGACACCCGGAGTTCGACTTTCACTTCTTTTACATTTCAAATTCGGTAGTTTTGATTTACTATTTTCTTTAGAACACACAGATTTTATGTGAAGCAACAAAGTTCGAATGCGCGACTTGAATAATTTTGGACTAGTTAGAGTAACACATCCTGATTGTTCGGTTAAATCGAGACACGAAACTATATCCACAGGCCCGGCTAGAATATCCACATTTTGCGATTGCAAATATTCGTGAGACGTTACCGGATTGTCCACCCACTGCAAGGAATCACAAGTAACCGAATCGTCTACGGAAAATTTAAAATCTCGCTTGTGACCTATGCTGTAAGTATTTTGCTTTAAAAGCGTAATTTCTACGTGCGGCGATGCCGAAGAAGTGTGCAGGGAGAAATGTACGTCCACGTGACCAATACACGCGGGCGAGGGCAGAGTCAATTCAAAAATGTGTTCGTCCCACGTCGTAGTGTCGGTTTGCAAACGAAACATTTTTGTATGTTGCTCACTATTCACTTGCAAATACGGATGTCTCCGTTGCCTCTGCGCCTGTTGCATTTCGCTCCAGCATGGAGGCACGACTGCGCAATAGCCAACTTTGAGAGGCTCAAATTCGCACAAAGTTTGCAAATGTTTTAAGTCGGATATGTTGATCCTTTGTACTGGTTCGTAGAAATAACGATTCTCATTGGCTTCGGTTATGTCCGACAGTTGCACTTTAGGAGGTTGCTCCATAGAAGCGCTAAATAAATCTTCATCCTCCTGATCTTCGACCGAGTCGTTATCCACGTCGTTTAAGGCATAGAAGTGTAGGGAACCAGAGCTTGTTGATGCGCATAAGCGTTCTAAACCTGAAGACAAATTTTAAGATTAGAAATATCATAGCAATGAATAAGTAATTTTGAAAACATTAAGGAAAACAAAGGATTATATTGGTGTCTTTGTGCGTGGCATGTACTATGATAAAATTAAATTTTGTACATGTCTATACGCAATGTTCAATAAACAAAACAGGGAAGTGAAAATACTAATCGACGTGTCCCTCAATTTCTCTACAGGATGAAGGTAGAAAATTCAACTAATACAGTAATAAAGTAAACCCGAGAGTAAACCTTATAGGTACGCTCCACGCAGATTTCTTATACTATGTCACTTGATTTTATCCGTCAATATCTGAATTTATTTTGATGTTTCAAATGGTTTTTTTTTCAATTTATAAAGGAAACTTGCATTTACAGTTTTGGTACCAGCAGGTCTTTTGATAAACACTGAGTTTTTCTCTCGCTTTTTCTGTACCGGGTGAGTCTATGATTGCGCGGAGTAACGTAATGCCTTGAAGATAAGATTTTTCGATAGAGTGCTTTTGTATTATGATATGGTTGAATATTCTCCACATTTTAAAAATATTTAGAATTATACAGGGTGCGCCCTCAAAGTAGGGCGCCAAAATGGTACATTTTTTAAAATAGAACCCCCTGTATTTGAATGCATTTTTGAATTCTACGTGTAATTGTACGTTTTTTTTATTATATGGTTAATATCCGAAAAGCTAGTAGTTTTAAAGAAAATTCGATTTTTAAGAAAAATTGGGCATTTGCAAGCCTCAGTATATATTGTCAAAATTATTACTTAAATTTTGATTCCAGGTTTTATATCTTTTATCCTGGTCAAATGAATACATCTACTATGAGACATTAAAAATATAGCTTACAGGGTGTTTTTTTGGTAGCTCCAAAGTTGCAAAACTTCATATTAAAAAATCTCACTTTTTTAAATGGAACACCCTGTATATTTTTCTGTCATCATTTAGCTCCTCCAAAAACCTTCAACTTTTGATAATAATGTCCTATACCTATCTCTGATAGTTTTCGAAATATCTTGGTTTTCCTGGTATTCTAATCTTAAATAAGTTAGGTATACCGGGTGACGCCTAGCGCGACGCAGCATAGGGATTTCAATGGTAATTTCTTTGTAGTCAATTACTAGCTCCCCTAATTATTTTAGAGCAAAAGTGTAAGGAAAATGATAAACAAATAGTATCTGATGCAGATGCAGCATACATTCTCTAAAAAAACGTTACCCTAAGATGCCTTTTATTGCGTCGGTTAGTTGAAACAGAATTAAATATGAAAATCGTTCGACGTCAAACAACGATAACTTAGAGGCGATGCGCTTGTAGTTTGTTAAAAGATTCCAAAGCATCACTGTAATGTAATTTTTTATTTTGTCGATTTCTACGGTTTTAATTGGTAGCTATCCATCTTATAACAACTCAAAACGGGGTGATATTGACTAAGTGGATTGATAAAGACACTAAACCTTCCCCGTATGGTATAAGAAGTATTTCTTTTAATTATTTCAGGTATTAGATTAAAGGCATTAGGTGACAGTTTCGACCCGAATATTGTTTCAAATTATAATATTTCAGCTTGATAATGACCTTCGGGTCGAAACTATAGTCGCTGTCACCTAATGCCTTTAATCTAATACCTGAAATAATTAAAAGAAGTATGGGGAAGGTTTAGTGTCTTTATCAATCCACTTATTCTACGGTTTTGAAAAATGGAAAATTATAACTTAAAGTATGAACAGATGCAGTATTTTTTTCTCTAAAAACCTATTTAGACTTTTGCTCTAAAATAATTAGGGGAGCTAGTAATTGACTATAAAGAAATTACCATTGAAATCCCCATGCTGCGTTGCGCTAGGCACCACCCTGTATGTAATTTACATAATGGTGAGGTGGCAATGCAAAAAAAGGCAATTTCTATCTATTTCGCCCAAAACGAAAATCATATCGATTAATTTATTTTTCAAACAATTTATTTTAAGTCCAAAAACTGGAGAATAAGTAAAAACATTTGAATACAAAGCAAATTTAATTTAACTCCTAATGCCATCCAGCCAGTGATATTAGTTTCATTTTTTTTTCATATTCACCTCGTTATTTATGTAAATTAGAACTTATTTCAGATTAAAATATAAAAAGTAGAAAAACCAAGATGTTCATGTTTTTACTATCAAATTTATTCTCCAGTTTTTATAGCCTTAAATGAATTATTAGAAAAATGAATTAACAAATATAATTTTAGCTTTGAACGAATATAAAAGATATAGAACCTGGAATCAAAATTTAAGTAATAATTTTGACAATATACTGACGCTTGCAAATGCCTAATTTTTCTTAAAAATCGAATTATCTTTGAAACTACTAGCTTTTCGGATATTAACCGTAGAATAAAAAAGACGTACAATTACACGTAGAATTCAAAATACAGCGGGTTCTATTTAAAAAAATGTACCATTTTGGCGCCCTACTTTGTGGGCGCACCCTGTATAATTCCAAGTATTTTTAAAATGTGGAGAATATTCAACCATATCATAATACAAAAGCACTCTATCAAAAAATCTTATTTTGAAGGCATTAACTCACTCCGCGCAATCATTGACTCAAGAAATGGTCCACTACATAAGGGGTGTTTTTTTTCAACTTCCAATGGGGCATAAAAATGGAAGTAATGTATTGCCAAAAGTTACATAGGTACATCTTCGGTTATTTTACAACATAATTACCGTTTTGATTGGGGCATTTTTCATACAGGAGGATGTGATATTTCACGATTTATAGGGGTGAAAATGGTACCTCCACGACAGTACGCCACTGTTTGATGATATTTATTCACCGACTCCTCGAATTGTTTCTTCGGTTATTAATTCACATAAATCTTACCTTTTTTGCTTCTATAAATATATGGTAAATAAATAATGTAGTATTCGTATATACAAAACTTAATTTGGGTAGATGTATGACAAGAAAAATTGGGAACGTTATGCTCAGATAAAGCGTCACATCCCACAAACATCAAAATCGATATGTTACCAGAATTAGGTATACCTTTAAATCAATAAATACTGTGAGGGTTTAGTTATACAATCGTGCTAAAAATATCGATACGCACGGGATCCTTACACCAAGCCATTTCAAACAATCCCCATACCGTTCAGGGGGGAGCGTGAAAAGGCACGAGCTTGAATACCAGTCTTTGATTATCTACCTGGATCACAAAATGGCACTGCTCTTTGAATACTTTAAACAGTGGAAGTAGACAGCATGCATTGTATGTAGGAAAAGGAGCCAATAATAGTGTAGTGCTATCCACAACCATTGTGTAATCATCCTGAGCTACAGTATTCAGACAAAGCAAAATTATAGCAATGGAACACTAAATATTTCAACAGTACTCAATTTCACATACAGAGATGGTAATGCAGTTCACAAGTCAATTTGTGCAGTTTATGTGCACAGGATTCAGCATGGGAAAATTTACACATGTACCGCTTCATAGCGAACGTGAACGAAAGTATGTCTGGCGATAACAAGAAACGTATCCATTTTGCTTAAAGCCGAACAGGTGACAAAAATGCAGGTTTACTATTCGTTTAAAAGGCTAGTGAGGTCGTCGCGTTCAGAGAAGAAGGCCCGTTTCGGTATTTCTACCTGGCGATAATTTGCAATAATATGAGCCTATGGTGGCTAAGTGCGAAACTAGACGGGTGTTTTTTCGCAGCGTAATCAATCCAGCGTTTCATACGCTGGAATGAGATACACACGCTTATATGGAATACACTATTGAGCGCAACCGCGCGCGTTTTTCCGCTGTAAAACAACTGTCACTATCGTTTATTTGGCAGCGATACATGTGAGAGACTATCACTTTTCGCAGAAGTAATACCGCTCCCGTGTAGTTGCAATGGTAGCGGAAATTACGCTTGCGTTGTTTCCGCGGGCGAAAAACTGCCCGTCTAGTTTCGGTCTTGGAACAGGTAACTGATGGTTACACCCTAGGTTTCTATTTCAGGTATGATTGGTTTGAATCCCAAAACCAATAACAAATTTTTCTTCAGTAATTATTGATGGTAGTCAAAGTAGTGGGACCAGCATTTAACATGACGGACTACCGAAATACCCCGGGCCAGCTACCGAAATCTGGGACAAGTGCCAAAGCACCACAGGATTTAAAAACTATGGTTTTTAACGTTTATTAATGCATAAAAGTAAGATCTTACACCTTAACCAGTTTTTTGTGCACAGATTTGAACTGTCATTGGGCTCCAAAATGGCAGACGAATCTGCTACCTTAATCAAGTACTGTAGCACAGTGCCTTGTGCGATAAATCAAATTTTGTATACAACAGCATATGGGAGGGAATTTAAAGACATGGTGCATTTACCCGCAACCAGACCTATTATAGTTAATAAATTGAGCAAAATTGATATCAACACAGCGGAACATTGGCATTTTATTCCCTCACATAATCACAATCTCGCGAAATTGAAATCGGTTTGCTCGGATTCGTAATAGGTACATAGGAACATTTTTGTTTTGCATTCATCAGTCAACTGTACCATTGAAGCGGTCTGTTTCCATATTTCTAAAAGGAGCAGCATTTCACAGGGGGAGATACGACCAAATTGTAACCTGAAAGGAATCTCATCCATGTCAATTACTGTAAGTTATTTTAAATTTTTTAATTTGTATGGAGTAGTGGTTGATTATTTTAAGGAATTTGCATAATAATTTTAATATTCCTAAAAGAATAGACCTATGAGAACCATTTGCATGATCATACTAATGTATTGTTCTTATTGATGAGAATCAAATCTAAACAAAGAATTTTAGTTTATTGCTTGTATTAAAATTTAGTATTTATAATTTTTCTGAATTTTTTTTAACTTTTCTGGGTACTTGTTCACCCCTTCCATTCATTAACTTGATAATACGAGCAAAATATCTGTAAAATAATCTCAAGGCAGAAATGTACCAAATGAACTCTGCACATTGTACATAGATGTTCAATAGATATAATTTCATCTTATACTTACTGTTACAGTATACCGCCGAAATGAACTTAGTTCCTTCCAATCTTGCAACGCTAACAGTTTTTAGAGTAGACAGGTCAATAATCCGCACTGCTCCATCTTCACACACCAGGACCGCACTACCCTCGCACGCGCAACTTTCATGTTTAAATTCCATCGACTCATTCAAATGTTCCAAAACAGGCAGCAACGAAACTTCAACAGGTTTTTCGAAACTGTTCAGCTCGCGCACCAACACAGGCTCCTCGTTAACTTTGACCATCTTATGCGAAAAATTTAAAGAGTACATCAAAAGAACACTATTCAGTGAGTGAAAACTGCCACCTAATACCACTAAAATGTGTCCGCCGTCAGGCGTCGGAACAATATCCGTTACCTCTAAGTCTCTACGATTTTTATACGGCTTCGGTAAGGATATACACTGCTCGGCGCGAGAGTAATTGAGTTTCTTGTTCGCCTTACTATTTTTTAATTCGGCTATGTGGTCGGAGATGCTTTTCTCATTCACTGTTGCTGTTTCTACGGGGCTGCTGCTGAGCTGGCCATTCATAAACGAATAGTCAGGTGGTAGAATTAAAGACGTCGCCTGGGCCGCATCCGTTTCGGTAACGTCTGGCAATACGACCCGTCGCAAAGAGTGCTGTTTAGTAGGCGCAATCGACGGTGGCAAAAAAATTTCGTCGCTCTCTCCCGGTATCAAATTTTGATACATGGACATTTGCTGTTTCAAAATGGTATACGCTTTCACTTCGACATCCGAGAAAAACATGCAGTCGTCCGAATGACTAGACGCCACGTCCATATTTGTATCGTTTATACTACCATCTGTGTCGTCCAACATTGAAATTGATATGTAGTCTTTGTAATCTTGGGAGGGGGTTATGTCATTGCGTTTATTCGACAATTCGTCGCCTTTTAGTACGGAATCTTTTTTAGTTTCTTGGGGTTCTTTGGTGTATTGGAAGTCGTATACGACAAGGTATAATGAACACATTTCAGATGAAGCTGGTAATTCATCGATTTCCATTATGTTTATCGACGACTGATCACTTTTGTTTTGATCATTGAGAGTTTCCACAAAAGAAGATTTATGATGAATATTTTTCGATGAGGAATGGCACCTTACACTCAGTCCACAGATGATTGTCGGCCTAATTCCATTTTTTGCAGTTGAATTAGATTTTGTTTGACACTTTTCGCCAACGATTGTGAGAGCGGTGATTTGTTTCTCTGCAGGGCACTTAACTATAAAAGAAATAACAGTATTAAAGAAACTTTCAAATAAACCCCTAAAGATCATCTAAAAAAGCGGCAGAGCACCTTGGTGTGACCCTACAGGGTCATTGGATTTGACCACTGAACTATAATTATACTGAAACACGCGCTCCGTCAATAAGAGCGATCCGGATAGGGGGATCTCTGTCCTACTCTCGCGCATGCATAGAGCAGTCTATTTGATATGTTTTGAATTTATATTAATGATCAGTTGCCCAATGAGTGACAGTGACAGAAATCCCCCTTGCACTATCTCTCTCGGCGCGCTACGCTTCTATGGCAGAGACCGCCATTGCGCATTCCAGTATAAGTATAGTTCAGTGGATTTAATGGGGTGCAAAGTTTGAACCGAATAGGTTCAAGCGTTTGCCAGAGACAAAGAGGCGTGACCCAATGGGGTCATTGGATTTGACCCATTTTCAATAGACTTACTACTTGTGGCATATAAGTCAACTGTGCAAAGTTTGAACCAAAGTTAAAAAAATAGGGACTTACGCTTGGATGCGCTAGGTATGTACAGGGTGGTTCAAATCTTGGCTTACCATTTGGATCTCCATAACAGTGAGAGATACAGTGTAGGTTAAACGGGGACAAAAGTTGCCCCTTTTTGTGATTAAAAAACGCATTTGAAATTGTTGAAAATAATTGAGATATCACCGAAAAAGTGAAAATGTCTAATTTCGTTTTCATTTTCCCTAGCTTAAAAGGTTCTATGAGCACTTTTTTCGGAGAATATATAATTGTTAGTGCTGTCAAAAAAGTCATATAGGTGTCTCTTTTTGGATCAAACTTAAAATGGAAAATCCCTCACAGAAAATCTCAAAATTTTCAATTTTAGAATAGCCTACCCTCAGATAGCATATTAGCTCTTTTTTCAAAAAATGTAACACACAAGGGGTGATATTAAAAAAAGATTTAAGTGATTCAAAAAAATGTAGACATTTCAAAAAGATTTCAATAAATTTTTAAAAAAGGTTCAAATGATTCAAACAAAACAAAAGAATTTTAAAAAGATTTTTACATTCTTTCAATTTTTTTTCATCGATCCGTAAATGTTTGTTATTATTTTTGTGTTATTTAATGAAGGTATTAATCTTTGCATGTCTTTATAACGAATTTGTGTTTTGTATACAGCATTTTATATTTTTGGTGAGTTTCAATCTTTGTTTTTGAAATTGTCTTATTTTACCTGTAATGCAGTCACATATTTGATACGGTTAACCTTTGGTTGAAATCATTTACGTTTTTGGTGTAAAGTTTACTTAATTTATGTTTATGTTTTGATTACACGGTCTTGACCAGAAGTGATATTCATATAAATTTTGCTCATTCTTTTAATATGGGGAAATAACCGATTCGTCAGACATGTGTTACTGACCTGATGTTTGTAACTAAGATTTTCTCCGTGAATGAGGAGGTCAGGGGAGGCAAAAAACTGTAACTAAATGAACTAAGACACCTAATTCCGTGATCAACATTCAACTGAAGGCTCGAATCCCCGAACGAGGGCGAGTTACATATCTCGGGGGTGAGATTATGATAATTAAAACTATTCGGTTTAGAATCTATGAGTTGGGATTCAATGATTTACACATATTTTGTCTTAACATTGAATTTGTCTACAAGGTCATGCACCAAAGATGAGTGTGTTTCGGCCTTTCTCAGAATCTTAGTACCTACTTACCTGACCCATTGTTCTCAAAACTTGTTTTTACCTAGGAAATCACCTCTCCAACCCTATATGCTACATACTTTGTACATACCTTCATCGATATCACTCCAGGTACCAGGAACACCAAAGTCTTGCGTTAATTTATCCAATATGTGAGAATCAAACTGAGTAACAAAGAAGGAGTGAGTTCGTTTCAATTTTCCCGAGACATCAAATACTGAAATGAGCCCCTCTTTGTTAGCAGTTGCAATCAAATGTGATACTGAACTGGTTCCGATTGTTTGCACCGCCACTCCTCTATAAGTAGCGTCGATCGCAGGGTTCGTCGCGAACGTCACAGAAACCGGGACGTTTTGCGTATATTCGCCCATGATGAACGGGCAGGTTGGAGAGTGACGTTCGTGTTCGCTCCAAGGTTCGTCCGTCCGCTCCCAGCATACCAAGCACAGAGAACACGTAAAGCACATCGCGCGATCGTCTCCCGCCGCGTTCGGAAGGTGATAAAATCCGGCTTGTGCCATTTGGTCAGGCAGAGCCCACCTGAATTGAAGTGTTATACATTTGGTGACACTGGAAACAAACAATTTTATACGTACTTGTAATCCATATGTGGCCATTGATTAAACGTTTCCCTTCGTTTCGCTTCGCTCGCCATCGCACGCCTATCTGATGCATTTGCTTGTTCGCCGACCAGTTCGGATAGACGTTCGTAGACGGCCGAAGCTACGCCTAATTCCGGCGAATGTTGTTTCTTGCCAATGGATTCGGTTACTGTACAGTTAACTGTAGTCTTTAATGTATCAAAAGGCAGATTTAAGCATACTGTGTTCCACTGCAACAAAATTATTGATTAGACCAGTACAATTAAAGTGAAAAAATAAGTGACACATCTTAAAAAACAAATTGGATCATTTTTGAATATTCAAAATATATAATATTCCTGCAGATATAACAGTTTTTCCGATAGGGCCTCAAAATTGTGATATCCTATGCAACGAAGCACTCAGGGGAATTTTTTAGCACACTACCAGCTTTATTGAACACCAGGTATCTAAGTAGAGGCGCTCCGTTACGAAGTGTTGTCCCGCAATTTCTTTAAGGAGAAGAGAGAAAGTAGAAGTACCGCGCCATCTTAGCCGATGATAAGGAAACCAGTTGCCGTATATAATTGATCAGTTTTATATTTGTTCCCTTAGAGATGATACATAAATTATTTATTCCAATACCGACGGATTTATAGCCATTTTTCCATGAATTGTTTACAAGAAAACAAAAATGAGGGATTAAAATTTTTTTAATCCCTAGGTATTAAAATTACCTGTTAATGCACAAAAATTAGGGATTAAATTCAATAAAACAATGTAGGTATTGGAAATTGTATAAGCAACACTGGATTAAACTAGTTTTTGTTCCCTTAAGAATATTAAAGCCCTCGGCTATCAGGAACAAAAACTCTTTTTAATCCCTTGTTACTTAATAACGGGCGATCAAAAATTAGTTGCTGTCGAGTCGCCTTTGGAAGTTCAACTTAAGTACGATTTCCCATGTCAACAAAAATTCCAAAGATGACTTGACAGCAACTCATTTCTGATCGCATAGTATACTATTTGTAGCCCCCGACGGCTCACAAAACAAAACTGAAAATTTCAAATTTCGTTTTCATTTTCTCTAGTCCGTTTCAGATGTCCGTGCAGTAAAGGAATGTGCATATAGCGAAAAAATTTAAAAAGCGACAACGCAATTTTCTTTTGAAAACCAGTATTTAAAAGCGGAAAATACGAAAAGTACGTTCCATAGCAATAAGGGTTTGAAAGGATCGCTTAGACAATAGCTAATCAGGGTTTTATTTACACATTTAAACTGTACAGGGTGAGTCAATGATTGCGCGGAGTAATTTAATGCCTTGAAGATAAGGTTTTTCAATAGAGTGCTTTTGTATTATGATATAGTTGAATATTCTCCACATTTTAAAAATATTTGGAATTATACAGGGTACGCCCACAAAATAGGGTGCCAAAATGGTACATTTTTTTAAATAGAACCCCCTGTATTTGAATGCATTTTTGAATTCTACGTGTAATTGTACGTCTTTTTTATTATATGGTTAATATCCGAAAAGCTAGTTGTTTTAAAGATAATTCGATTTTAAGAAAAATTGGGCATTTGCAAGCTGTTGTCAAAATTATTGCTTAAATTTTGATTCCAGGTTTTATATCTTTTATCCTGAGTTAAGTAAAAGTCAAATAAATACATCTACTATAAAACATTAAAAAAATAGCTTACATGGTGTTTTTTTCTAGATCCAAAGTTACAAAACTTCGTATTAAAAAAATCTCACTTTTTTATACACATGGAACACCCTGTATATTTTTCTGTCATCTTTTAGCTCCTCCAAAAACCTTCAACTTTTGGTAATAATGTCCTATACCAATATCTGAGTTTTCGAAATATCTTGGTTTTCCTGGGTTTTATATTCTAATCTTAAATAAGTTATATGTAATAATAGTGAGGTGGCCATGCAAATAAAAGGCAATTTTTATCTGCCTAGTTCAAAGCTAAAATCATATCGATTAATTTATTTTTCAAACAATTTATTTGAAGTCTATAAAAACTGGAGAATAAATTTGATAGTAAAAACATAAACAAATATCTTGGTTTTTCTACTTTTTATATTTTAATCTGAAATAAATTCTAATTTACATAATAACGAGGTGAATATGAAAAAAACATGAAACTAATATCATTGACTGGATGACATTAGGAGTTAAATTAAATTTGGTTTGTAGTCAAATGTTTTTACCTCGGTTTTTACTTATTCTCCAGTTTGTGGACTTAAAATAAATTTTTTTTGCATGTCCACCTCACTATTATGTAAATTACATATAACTTATTTAAGATTAGAATATAAAACCCAGGAAAACCCTCGGGAAAACCAAGATATTTCGAAAACTATCAGATATAAGTATAGGGTTTTGGAGGAGGTAAATGATGACAGAAAAATATAAAGGGTGTTCCATTTAAAAAAAGTGAGATTTTTAATATAAAGTTTTGCAACTTTGGACCAACCAAAAAAACACCCTGTAAGCTATATTTTTAATGTTTCAGAGTAGATGTATTTATTTGACTTTTACTTAACCCTGGATAAGATATAAAACCTGAAATCAAAATTTAAGTAAATAATTTTGAAAATATATACTGACGCTTGCAAATGCCCAATTTTTATTAAAAATCGAATTATCTTTAAAACTACTAGCTTTTCGGATATTAACCATATACAATAAAGAAGACGTACAATTACACGTAGAATTCAAAAATGCATTCAACTACAGGGGGTTCTATTTTAAAAAATGTATCATTTGAGCGCACCCTGTATATTTCCAAATATTTTTAAAATGTGAAGAATATTCAACCATATCATAATACAAAAGCACTCTATTGAAAAATCTTATCTTCAAGGCATTAAGTTACTCCGCGCAATCGTTGACTCACCCTGTACATGGGCGTGCAAATGGGTAAAACAATTACTCATGCACAGTACAAATTACAAATTATTAATATTAAAATGTATATATAGATATCATAAATTTATTAATAGAAATGTATTAGATCCTAACTGAAACCCTAAAGTATGTTAAAATGGTGCGCTACTGAAATATAGCTGCAGGTACATTCCTTTACTGCAGGGACATCTGAAACGGACTTTAGCTTAAATGGTCAGAAATGGACGGTTCCAGTTACCACCTTCGATGGGCACTTTCTTTTGGAAAATCTGAATCTGCTATCCGAATTTCTATAACACACCAAATGTAGAAACTACAGACTACTCCTTTCTTATTTTTTATGGACGCCATATTGAATTTTTACGGAATGAGATATAGAACAAAAAAAGAAAAATAATGGCATGTCCCACTCTATACCTTTACCTAAATTTTCAAGACAAATTTCAAAATCAAATGTTTTACATTCATCCACAGGTAACTAGATTAGAAAAAAATAACCATGGGCTTCATTTTTTTTTCAAAAGGCCATTTAAATATTTAGCTATTTAGTTTTGAAGTAGGTATTTAAATGCCCACCATTTTGAAAAAAAATATGCACTCAAAATTCACTGCCTCTTTTGCGGAACAATTGTAGATTTTACTAATGGAAATTGGACTATAGTGCATTAGAGACCGATCAGATGAATGGCCATTCTCAATCAATAGTCGCATACATTTTCATAGCTCACCTCCTATGCAGCTGATTATGTGTACGATCAGTTATGTAGCGTCAAGTTCCGTACCAGGAGAAGAACCTAGTATTACCTCATGAACAATATATACAAGAAAAATCTGGAGGGAAACCGAAATAATGACATTAAAAAATTTTTTGGAAGACCTATTATTATCTCTAGAACTGAAGGCCCAACACATATCAGATGTAGTGAAGCGGTCTCAATTGGTCATCAATATTACTACATCATCATTTTCGTTCAAGATAGACACATGCAAATCATTTTAATGTTTGTTCAATAATGCAAAAAGTGATCCCAATCCAAAATGATCCATACTTTGAAATAATGGTTTCTTTGTTCTTGTAATAGTCTAAAAGCCCACATAAGGCCAACCTTTGCTCATCTTTTTACCGAGTGAAATACATTTTTTACCAATCTTAATACATAAACAAACACATTGGAAATCGGTTGCCTAAAATAATTAACTCAAGACCTTAATTAAAATTGATTTATTAATCTTTCTGTCTGTTTCTATCTCATGAAGAGAGTGCGAAGTGGAACTCCAACGGTTAAAATTTTGATCACTCTCGTTCAGTGGATTTCAAGGTAGCCCCCCTACTATAATTGTGTTGTATCACCTAGAAGAGAGTTTTACCGCAACTAGTAATAAAATAATTCCTGTTAATCCGAATTGTGTACCGTTTACTCATTTTTTGAATTACAGTACAACCTATAGCTATACAAACAATGAACCATTTTGAAATTAGCAGCGTATCATAAAGGAAAGTACTTATTGAATGTTTGCATATATCGAGAAGAGTTATATCATGACATTCTATGTTACGATTTTTATTTTATTTTATTGTCCCTCTTGTTCTGGGCCCTCACCAGGCTTTTGCCTAATAACAGACTGACTCGCATAACACATTTTAGAGGTGGCTCTGCAGAAGGTCTTAAATTGTTCTATAGTACTCAGGTATTTACCTTACGAATTACTGCCAGGAAAATCTAATTCGGAGCAGCAGGCAGAATCTCCACCACAGATGAAAAATTCTTACCTCAGTCCAACATGTTTGTAAAGGAATGGAAATTTCCGGAAACATTGGAATTTTCCGGAAACATGGCAATGTTTACATATAGAAATTTCACTTACATATAATTTATTAGCTATTGATATAATCTCAGTATGTCTTTAAGGGGACTCATTTTGGTAGATTACTTAAATTACTGCTGTTCCAAGTTTGAGTAGTATGATCATTTATAAAAAAAAAGTGCGACTTCTACTGAATCTCAAGATATAAGCAGAGTACAGCTCGCCCTGACCTAACTAATTCAACTTACTTTTTGCGCTTTAATTCCTTTTTTCGATTGTTTTTGAGCGTCCAAAATTTTTTCCGTCAGCTCATTTAAAATCTGATCTACACCAACAACTCCAATGGTCGATAAACTCTGTTTTAATATAATGGCCTACAATCATTAGAAATTAAGGATGGACGATTGCACAATAAAATACAATACCTCCGATAATAACAATTCTAATTTAACATTATCGCTAGTGTTATTGATAGTCTTCTGCAGTATCGTGTCCAACAGTAAAACACCATTGTAATCTGAACGAACTCCGATTGAGTATCCATCGCAAAACAAAACACGATCTTGTCCAGGAATATAAAGGCATGTTACTTCGGACCCATCTTGAGCTGAAAGAAAACCGAACTTAAACTGTGTGTCTGTTAAAAAAATCGTAACAGTAAGAAAAATCGTACTGTTTTGCGTTCTTACTTGACAGGTAACTTGCTTGTAGAACAACACCCGAGTTAACGTCCAAAACGCGTACGATTCCTGAGTTAATACATATTAAAATAACGTTTAGTGATGGGTGGTACACAATTTTCTTAATTTCTGTCGCCGCATTTAAATAACCGTCTTCTTTTAATACGAAAGGATCCTCAGCCATTTTGCTACACACATCTTGAGCCATGGAAAATGGAAATGCACCATTTGTAAATTTTTGACAGATGACCGCTTCAGGGTTACCTTCGATGTCACCAACTGTTAATTCACAAAAATCCCTACACGAAACGTTTACAAATCTATGCACAGAGTGAGTCATAATATCGGTGTCACCTCACACAAATTTAATGTTACTTTTTGTTGCTTTGTACACAAAGTTGGTTGTTGTTTGAAGGAGTGGTGTACAGAATTTGCATTTTTATCGAGTAAAAAAAAATTCTAACGATTGAAAATCTGTCAATTACCATCAAGTTATAGGAGAAAAATACAGCCAATACTTAGGCGATTTCGTTTACCTATGCGAAATTTAGATGTCAACGCTGATATTATACGTAGAAAGTTGCAATTTTTTGTTATTCACAGGCGTATGCTTACTATCACGTATTAAAAAGACAAAATGGAAAGGTGTGACTAAATTATCACTCGATTGGAATAGACAAATGTCATCGCATATCACCTTTTTACTACCTTCAAGCCTTTACATGTTGTAAGCGCTAGTAGGTGTAGGTATAGTAGATATAAATGAGGACATGAACAGACGTTTTTCAAGCTACAAGAAACTTATTTACAACTTTGTTCTAAATTAATTAGGGGAGAAAATATTTCGATATTAAGAAATTAACATTGAAATCCCTATATAATATTTTATTGTGTTGTGTTTATACACTTACACTCGTCAACAAAGATAGGTGCGTAAACCGTTTCTACACCCTGTATTCATGTATGATCTCTTTGCAATTTATCAACATAATGTGTTAATACCACAGCAAAAACAAAAGAGTATTGGTACTGTAAGGGTAAACTATTAGCATTTACCAGCTACATAGAACAAGGAAACTAACACACACTGAACACTGTAGCAAAGCTTCTCTTTATATATTTACAAATTTATGTCCTAACCATATGTGTATAGTGTTTGCCAATAGCCAAATAACATTTAACTACAAATCTTGTCTCATGTAAAAACCAGAATAAAACATTTATTTCCTATTGGTAATGACAATTACAAACAAAAGCACTACGCATTTTCTTCAGAATCCTTCTTAAAACTTCCTTTCTGAGGCGGTCTGCATTCAGGATATTTATCGGTGAGGAATGTTCTCAGCTCTCCGTACTCCGCCTTCAATTGAATTCGAATTTTGTCGTGGTTTCTGATTTTCTCTTGCTTCTTTAAATATATCTCCCAAGACTTGTATTTAGTGTAAAACGGTGGGAATTTCTTTCGTTGCAAGATGACCCTTCCGTCCAAGCAGTACTGTGTAAAATCGAGTACCTCGTCGTGTTTAAGGTCCTCCGTTTTACGACATTCGACCGGCGAAGCTAATACAGTGGGAAAGTATTCGTTATCTTTCGACAGCTCCACCAGATGTAATTTTTTTTCTTCCGCAATTTGTTCATGAGTTCTCTGTAAACAAAAAGGCTCTTAGTAGTTTTTTTTATTAAAATCTATTCTTAGTGTTTTTTTCTACTACGGACATGAGGTTTTTAGACTTTGGAAGACTGGATAACTAGATTGACAACAGGAATCCAAAACAAAAAATTAAAAATAATTTTTGCTGTTTTTCAAAAAATTAACAAATGAACATCAGTTTAACGCCCAAAAATTTTAAATAAACAAAACCATTTTCTGGTGGAGTAAATATATAAGATATTCCATGCTTTATGGGGACAGATCTGGACCTTTAGTTTGCAATGTTGTCATGTAGTTTGACTACATTTGAAATACACTGTCACTGAGGTAAGTTGTGTATTCCCTTCCCTCTAAAGCCGAGTTGAAAAAAAAAGTAGTCTTTCCTAGATATGTTACCTGTTTCAAAAGACCTAGCATAAAAGCTTTCACTATGTGCTGAACATTAGTAGAACCTTCGACTTTAGCGTACAAGTCTTTAATCCCCACAACCTCACATACTGTTCGGATAGCACGGTGGCAAACTAGACCATAGCCTTCTGGTCTCTGGCTAACAAAAATTTTTGTTGCTCCAAACTGTGTGAAGAAATCGTGATAAACTGCAAAATGTAAGTTAAGTTAACTCTTCGCAAAGCCCTATACGTTACCTGTGTGATCTCTAAAAATGTTAATGTGCATTAACTTTTGTCCAGCTCTGTTCTTCACTTTACGAAGTGCGGCTGCAGATTCCACAGCTTTACCAAGTGCAAAACCGGCCAATCCTTTTCCATTACCAGTTATAGCAAACACAGATAGCCTACGTTTCCTACCAAGATTTCCGGTCATATTAAACACAGTTTTTAACTCCAATACTTTGGTGTCAAATCCTTCGAAACTCTCTACAACATGACATAAATGGAAGAATAGCAAATATCACATGTAGTACCTTCGCCAATGGGATCTGGAGGACCAATGCTTCTACCCGGCATTTTATTTCCTGACCAACCTCGATCTAGAGGGCTTAGTTTCGGTGGCCGGAGGTTACCCATTTTGTTACGTATTTCGATTAATTTTTTCTCTCTATCAGGATCTTCCGGTAGTTGCTGCTGTTCAACAAGCTCCCTTCCTCTTATAATGGGAGCGGTCAACCCAGGCCATAATATGTTTGCCTTTCCTGTTTATATCAAGACCAAAAATTTAAATCGTTGATAAATGAGCTACTCACCAACACCGATGATTTGGCCGCGATTCAAATCTTTAATGTTTCTTCTTGAAACCCTCTTGCCACGTCCTCTTTTTTTACCTGCATTACTGACTGACGTAATTCCTTTCCAAAGAGCTTCGGCAGGAACTACAAGTAGTTAAAAGCAAATATAAGCAATTTAATTACATAGAGGACAGTCTCGGGGACTCACGTTTGTTAAAAAAGTTTGTGGAGTTTCTTACGGAATTTCCATATATCGCACCATTAATAGCGCATTGTTTACTTGAAATAACATTTAAATTACATTTCGCATTTAAAGTCAATCTTTGTAAAGATTGAATAACTTTTATCATATTTAAAGCCATCATAAGACAATAAGGTTATGTATAGAATTGAGTACTTTAAATGCTTTAAACTAATACAATGATGTTACATTCGGCCTACTAAAATCAATTCGACCTATTATTATTTAACCAACCTACAACGGCTATTTTCTCTTTAGACCATGTAGTACTTGGACTGTTATTACTTTATTAGCCGGATTGGCCCTATGCTATCCATACAAAATAGGTCGTCGGGGTAAAGGGCATTGTAGAGCATGTGAACTCAGGGTAAACTAAACTAAAGTCGTATGAACACCACTCGAATGGGGAAAAAACAACTTCCATAGCAACCACGTACTGCGGGAAGTTTTAAATATGTACTACCTTAGTATCACGGCATGGCATGTAGGCAACCAACAACACGCGACAAACTGGAGTTGTTTTTACAGTCTTTAAAGTGTTACCACCCTGATAGCTGATACAATGGCCCATATGAATAAAAGGGAGCATATGCTTAGGTATACTTGCCAAATTCGAAGTAAATACTCGTAAGTGCCCCTTCACACTGGGCTGCTCAGCAGCTTTGCATTGCGTCCCGTCCCGCTGCTCAGCAGCGCTGATTGTCGCTCAGTGTGAAGGGGCACGAGTACCAATGTATAAGCATATGCTCCCTTTTATTCATATGGGCCAATGTTAATACTCCAACCTTGTCGTCTTTGCTAAACATCTTTGTATTAAAAAATCACAATTTGATGGTAATAATATAAATAAAGACTAATAGCTAGCCCTAATTTGACATTAAATAATCAAGTTACTATTTTCATAACAGACGCAGATTATCATTGAAAAAAATCCTGTAGTGTTGGTTGCCTATTATATGCATCTAGTCCATGCATTTGATCCGTTTTTTTAAGTAAAATAGCCCATATGTATACATTTTTTATATTTATTGTTCTAGTTTTACAAAATAAAATTGTTTACAAATGTCAAGGATAATGTGTAATATATATCTATGTGTGTAAAACAATAAATTAAAAAACTACTTTATTTGAGAATTCTACCGTTTTTGTTGTCTCCACATTCATGCATAACTGGTTAGCGGTAAATCAATCACAGATTTTCTTTGACTATTTCTATATGATTTTGGATGTTTCCACGATGCCACCACTCAATTTTGGTACTGTGGTATCGTCAGCAAATAAGGTCAGGCGGGCATCAGGCACGGCATTGCTTATCTCATAGGTATACAAGGAACAGAATCGGCCCTAAAATTGAACCTTGCGGTACCCTTTTTGTCACGTTTTTAAAACTGGATGTAGAACCCCCCACATATTGTACGTACACTGCTTTCTACCATGCAAATACGATCGAATAAGTTTTGCACATAAGAGCATCAAAACCGTAGTGAATAAGCTTATTTACAAGAATTTCGTAGGTAACGTAAATTGAAACAATGCTTAAATTTGCTTCGAACTAACAAAACAATTAAGCACAGCACTATTAAGTAAGTACAGTATCGACAACATCCGCGACCTAGCGATAACGGTCGAGTACGACACCATAAATCCAATCAGTGATCAGAGATCAGTGAGCGATGGGGCTGGGGGGGGGGGGTTAAAAGTTCATTTTGTCTCATTGTATTCTAATTAAAGGTCTCAAAAGAACCGATTTCTACCAACGACTGCTCTTCTTTCTGTTCCCTTATCGAAGTACGGGGTGGAGGGGGGGAGTGGAACTAGTTTTATTCTTCATGGTAGGTACTCTAATGAAAGGTCTCAACGAAAGGAATTAATTTCTACCAACCATAGCCCTCCTCCTCGATCTCTTATCGTGATCGGGTATATGCCCTTATACCTCAAGAACGGATTGTCGGAAGAGGGTACTCACAACAAATGAGACGATTGAAACGTCTGCTATTTCTGTTAAAAAAAGATGCGCTTTATCTGTACAAGATTAGACAAAATCAAATTCGTCTAAGAACGAGACTTTCATTCTCAAAGCTCAAATCGTGTGAAAATCGTGAATTCTAATACCATCATTTATATGTGTGTAGGTAGGTACAGGTAGTCATTGAGTTTAATATAATGTAAAGTCAATGGTAGTAGGTGCGTAGTAGGTACATATCTTGGAATTAGGTACCTACCTATCTACTAACACAATAGCTATCTATCCTATGCTAATACCTATACTTAACTATGGTTTACCAGTATATTCAATGAGTCAATGTGATACAACGCAACAGAAAGCATTGGAAGCCTATATATGTATAATGCAGTAAAGCAGAAATTGGGGGTTCCTAGATCGAACTCGGCGTATTTACTTTCCACTCATCTTTGTTTTAGCTGCTTTATTGCGAATCTCAAAGTCAATATTTAGGTAGAGAGCTTTTCTAATACTCATTTCCAATATAGTATTATCATTACCGGGCTCTATTTACGTACCCCATAACACTGTAATAAATGTTTGTCATTTAATTAGTTTAACTTTTTCATGTTTGATTTGATACAAATAGTAGCTGAAAGCTTGCCTGCCAAATATATACTTTGCCAAATATATAGGTACTTTGCGTAAAAACAAAACTATACAGTACAGGTTAAGTCATTTTGTAAGGATGTAGATAATAAGTATGATACTTACGATCCTACGAAAATGGGCTCGTCGTATTGATATTAATTTTTTGTGAAAGCGTTTCGAAATTGACAAATTTTGATATTGATTAGAATTTCGAAATGACACTCTTTTAGGCACTAGTGCGTAAATGTGAAAGTTTTAGGCACTAGTGCCTAAAAATAAAAATGAAACATTAAAATAAATTTTGTCGTAGGTCTTTTCGTATAAATGTTTCGATTTTTCGGGTACTAACGTGGATAGTGCAGCTTCAGCAGCTTGTTCAATATCCAAAGACTCGTCAATATCACTCATTTGAAGTAATTTTTTCGCAAAACTTTGCGGGAAAGACGGCAACACGCTACGTTCAATCTTAACGTCACACTAATGTATAAACATTGCCTTAGGCTGGTCGTCCATTGGAAGCGAAAACAAGCGGCTTTGAGCTTACGCGACACGAGCGTCAACACGCGACTACGCGCGGCAGATCCTAAATATTGTATTTTAATGTAACCTCGTCCACTGAAAGCAAGTTTGAGCGGGCGGCTATGAGCGTAATCGTGCGCGCGCTACAGTTCCGAGCAGAATGGGATTTACGCTCGTAGCCGCTTGACGCATCTGTCTGCAAAAAATATCTGCTGAAAAAGAAAGTGCCAAAAAAGGAATTGAAACGAAGAAATCTTCTGATAAGAAGGTGAACAATGCAATGAATCATGGTGATGCCTCAAAAACAAATCAGGGGAAGAGCAAGGACACTACTGTCAGTGAAACAGCTTGCAATGGACGACCCCTGTAGCACAACATCGCGTATCTTATAGCCGCTTGTTGACGCTCGTATCGCGTACGCTCGAAGCCGCTTGTTTTCGCTTCCAGTGGACGACCAGCCTTAGAATCAGATTGCCTGCCTACTTTTCAAAATGTTTAAAAATACTAATAAAATTATAAAACTATCAAATTCTCCGCTTTCACAAAAAATCTTGTAGGTATATAATTCGTTACGAAACGATGTCTTTTAGTCACTAGACGTGTTGTCCAACTCGGCTTTGCCTCGTTAGACAATTTTCACGTCGCGTGCCTAAAAGACACTCATTTCGCAACTTATTGTATAAATAGCTATTTTAGCATTTACCTACCTATTGTAACGTATGTACGTGCCCCGGTAAAATTGGAAGACGACAAGCACCTCTTCTAGGAGACCAGAAGAGTAACGTAATTTTGACTTGTTTGAATATTTTGTTGGCGCATACGAGACGCAAAAAAATGAAAGTAGGTAAAATTGGTTGCATATATCTTAAGGGGATTTGACTTGCATATTTAAGAATTGAATATAGGAGATTTGCATGTTCAGAGTAAAAATTTATGCACTGTGTGTTAGTAGACATGGAATAGTAATAACGAATCTAAGTTTTCAACCTCGAAAGACTTTCGGATCACTGCTAAGTACTTGCAAACTATGACATTTTCGAACATTTTCACTTTTTGTAAGTTGTTATCAACAAGAACCTGTTTTACGGCAAAAGTCACAAAGAAGGTACACTTTTAAGGCGGCTAGGGACAGGCCATTCAAAATTTAAGCTGCGCCTACGCAAATAATTATATAGGCAACCAATCGTGCAATTCGACAAGTTTCACCAGGCATAAGCTACCTGCAAATGACCTCATCTTCCTACAATAAAACCAGATTCCAGACCCTCATTATCGGCTATTCAACAAAAGTAACTGATTTATGGAATTTTAACTTTCTCTGATGTTTTACAGTTTTACTAATACTGGAAACCTTTGAATATAGAATAGGAAATCAAAGCTGAAAGCTCTACATACCTATATAAAAATATTACTAATGTATTACTTTCTAAGATATCATTCCTACTTACTTCCTATATAGGGATTTACAATAATGACTTTTGAGATTTGGACTTGGGTAATGAAGGGAACAATTTCCGAAACAAGAAAAACTGGTCTTCAATTTTTGTGGTTCATAGCACAAATTTATTTAAACAATTATCACATCCAATCAAACTACGGCCCCATAGATTTCTAAATTTATATGATAACGATTTTCACAGGTGCGCGGATGTAAGAATGGTACTTTTCTTCAATTAGATGAACAGTTTTCGATATTTCGCATGGCTTCCGCAATGTAGCCCGGTATTTGCTGCGTTTTCAACCTTCCCCCATTTATCAAATTATATATCTGAATTCTGATCTAATTTACAACAAAATAAATGACTCATTTTTCATTACAAAAAATGTTTTAATAGATTTTCGGAAATTTTCCAATTCCAACACGACATTCGCCTGATGCTTTACGAAAATAGTTTATTTGGCTAGCCGTCAAACCTACAGTGGAATTATCAAAAGCATAGGTAGATTAAAAAATTATCAAAGTCGTGTGGGATCGAAGAGAGATCAGCGCATTTTTGTGTGGCAGATCAGTATTCTATTAGCCATTAGATCTTATCGCAA